AAAAAAAATGATCATCTGACCTTAATTAAACGCCTAAAACCCCTGAGCTTCCGGAACAGGACAAGTTATCAAAATGTGTTTATCTGACCGCAGGCGCGTAGCCAGCCAGGGGGGGGGGGGGGGGGGGCGGTCCCCCAAATCGGAAGAGGACGTAGAAAGTAAAAGGAGCAGACAAAGAAAATCTTTGAAATTCAGATAAGGATTAAGAGTATAGAGAACGGTACAACGTATCGTCTTCTTTCTCTAATAATTTAATGAAACGTCAAAGCTTCCGCGTTTTGCGCGAGGTTGGAGGGGGAACTAAATTCCGACGAGGATTATTTTCGAGAACGGTACAACAAATCTTCTTTTTTCTCTATTGATTTAATGAAAATTAAAAGCTTCCGCGCGGGGGGGAACCTGAATTCAGACGAGGATTAAGATTCGAGAACTGTACAGCCAATCGTCTTCTTTCTCTCATAATCTTATGAAACTTAAAAGCTTCCGCGCTTCGCGCGGGAGGGGGGGGGGGGGACCTGAATTCAGGCGAGGATTAAGAGTCGAGAACGGTACATCGAATCGTCTTCTTTCTCTAATGATTAAATGAAAAGCTTCCGCGCTTCGCGCAGGAGGGGGAGGAACCTGAATTCTGACGAGGATTAAGAGTCGAGAACCCTACAACGAATCGTATTCTTTCTTTAATAGTTTAATGAAACGTCAAAGCTTCCGCGCTTCGCACGGGAGGGGAAAAACTAAATTCAGATGAAGATTTGAGTCGAGAACGGTACAACGAATCGTCTTCTTTCTCTAATGATTTAATGACACGTAAAAGCTTCCGCGCTTCGCGCAGGAGGGGGAGGGGGGAACTGAATTTAGACGAGGATTAAGAGTCGAGAACGGTACAACGAATCGTCTTCTTTCTCTAATGATTTAATGAAACGTAAAAGCTTCCGCGCTTCGCGCGGGAGGGGGGGGGAACCTGAATTCAGACGAGGATTAAGAGTCGAGAACTCTACAACGAATCGTCTTCTTTCTCTCATAATCTTATAAAACTTAAAAGCTAGGGGGGGGGACCTGAATTCAGATGAGGATTAAGAGTCGGGAACTCTACAACGAATCGTATTATTTCTAAAGAATTATTAGTGTGTGGATGAATTGTGAATGGAAATTGTAAAGGCGTGTTTACTGATCACACAACATAACTCTCTTTTTAATTTAACTACGAGGAAACAAGGTTGCACTGGCAATAAAATACATGATAAACTGTATTCCCTTTTCGTTATTTTATTGGGTACTGATTTGCAGACACAAGCAAATAAATGATTCAGAATGAGAATCACATTAATGAGGATCGTGGATATTGCACGGAGTTTAAATGGTCGTGTATGAGATGGACATGAATAAATTGAATGCGATGAATGAATAGAGCTTACGACAATGGTAGAAATGACGTCGAAAGTCCATGAAGATGATGACGGATGAAACGAAGAAAGGGGCTCACGCGATGATTGTGCGGAGGCTTGATGATGGAAACGCGACTTCATTGACGTGGCTGAAGAGCCGAGAAGAACGCGATGTCGATGCCGACGCTCATGATGATGATGAATGTAGCGCTCGATCGGCCGGGCGAGAAGAAAAGAGAAGAGATGTGGCGCTCGACGACGAGGCAGTGAGTCGCTCGATGTCGGAGGCCCAGGTTGAAATGTAGACATCAAAGCGGTAAAGTGGTGATCGTGAAGAGCAATGAGTCGCTCGATGCTGGATCGATGAGCCGGACTTTGAAGTGAAAATCATCAGAGTTGCAGTGAGATGGACTCGTTGATGAAAGTTCAGACGAGCTACAGTGAATCGAGCTCGGGTGTGAAGAGAGCTACCGGAACGAAGCAGCTAGCAGCTCCCAGCGGAGAATCAGGAGCCATGTAGGTTCCCGATTTAAGCGTTCCACTGCAAGACTGCCAGTCCTTTGAAGACGGCAGGATAAAGAGTTTATGTGCCATACAAGAGGTGATAGGCACGGAAGAGAATTCTCCAATTGAAATGCAGGAGGTTAGAATTGTAGAAGGATTTGCTCCTTGTGTATGCATGAAGCAAATTGTGATGGTAGAGGTGACATTCTCATATTGACGTGTTACTTCATCGAAGAACTATGAGAAGTGTAGGAGTGGAGAAAGTAAATGTTGTTTTCATCCTTCTTGGGAGGCAGGATAAAACAAAGAGGGTACTATACGAAATTCTGGGAAGGGAGAGTGAGTCACTGGTGATAACCAGGTACAGGGACATTGAAGCCATTATGCTGACACTTGTTGATACATATATAGGGGTGGCAGTGCCTGGCATAAGTCAGAGGGCAATGTCATCCCAAATTGGGTTAGCAAAGTGACAAATGAAATTGGGAAATAAAGAAAGATGAAATGAGGAAAATACTACATTTCTTTAATAGTTTTAATGAAACTTCAAAGCTTCCGCGCTTCGCACGGGAGGGGAAAAACTAAATTCAGACGCGGATTAAGAGTCGAGAAAGGTACAACGAATCGTCTTCTTTCTTTAATAGTTTAACGAAGCGTCAAAGCTTCCGCGCTTCGCGCAGGAGGGGGAGGGGGGCTGAATTTAGACAAGGATTAAGAGTCGAGAACTCTACAATGAATCGTCTTCTTTCGCTAATAATTTAATAAAACGTAAAAGCTTCCGCGCTTCGCGCAGGACGGGGGGAGCGGAAAAACTAAATTCAGACGAAGATTTTGAGTCGAGAACGGTACAACGAATCGTCTTCTTTCTCTAATAATTTAATAAAACGTAAAAGCTTCCGCGCTTCGCGCAGGACGGGGGGGGGGGGCTGAATTACGACAAGGATTAAGAGTCGAGAACTCTACAACAAATCGTCTTCTTTCTCTAATAATTTAATAAGTCGTAAAATTTTTCGCGCTTCGCGCGGGAGCGGAAAAACTAAATTCAGACGAAGATTTTGAGTCGAGAACGGTACAACGAATCGTCTTCTTTCTCTAATAATTGAATGAAACGTCTAAGCTTCCGCGTTTCGTGGAGGAGGGTGGGGGAAAACTCGCCCCTCTCTGCACCGACCCCCCCCCCCTCCGCATTACGTCACTGTTGGTCATCGTTACGTACCAATATTTGGCTCGCATAATTTAAAATTTGGGCCCCCCCTAAGAAATCCTGGATCCGCGCCTGGGGGGTGGAATTCAGACAAGGACACGATACAACGAATCGTCTTCTTTCTCTAATAATTTAATGAAACGTGAAAGCTTCCTCGCTTCGCGCGGGAGGGGGGGGGGATTCAATTCAGACAAGGATTAAGAGTCGAAGACAGTACAACGAATCGTCTTCTTTCTCCAAGGATTTAATGAAACGTCAAAGCTTCCGCACTTCGCGGGGGGGGGGGGGCTGAATTCAGACAAGAATTAAGAGTCAAAAACGGTACAACGAATTGTCTTCTTTCTCTTATAATTAAATGAAACGACATATCTTCTGCGCTTCGCGCTGGGGATGGGGGGGGGGGCGAAACAAGAATTAAGAGTCGAGGAAAAGTACAATGAATCGTCTTCTTTCTCTAATAATTTAATGAAATGTCAAAGCTTTCGCGCGGGAGGGTGGGGGGGGGGGGGGGACTGAAAACAATAACTTAGTTCCGTGGCCCGTGTTAATAGGATTACTAAGTAAATTTGTAGACATTGGGACATTAGCATTAATATATTACGTCGGTAATAGGTGGCTAGTTTTGTCGGTAATCGGTGGCCTCTAGCGACGCCTCTGATAATTAACAACACAGTTTTACACTCGAGACAATTTTTGCAAGTACTACTAATAAAGTACCAGACCACCGTCTTTGTGCATTGTGCAGCAACGAAGCATATACAACGCAACAACATTTCGCGACGTGAAACATCACTTTTCTCTAAATTCTAAGAAGGCCTCATTTTTCTTTCTAGGAAGTGCCGGTGGACATTAATGCGCAAAATGGGGTTCTGAAATTGCAAAAGATCCCTACTCGACGTAGGAGAAAGCAATTTTACGTCATATTACTCCGGATAGTGCCTTAAAATGCGCCTAATGTGGTTCTAAAATTGCAAAGAGAACACTTTTTTTTTTTTTGGTCACGAAATTTTTAAATTTGACATTATGCTCCGTTGGGGAGGGGGGGGGGGAGGGGGAAAGGTCACCTTTTTAGGTCAGCCATTGACATTTTTTTCATTTTTTTAAATAAAATTGTTAATAATTTTTTTGGCGGGGGGGGGGCACGTCCCTTTTTTTCAGTACATTTTGGGCGAATTTAGGGCTGATTTTAACATATTTTTTTGGCGGGGGGGGGGGCACGTGCCCCCTGTGCCCCCTGGATCCGCCACTGGTTTTATAATCTAAACTTTTCAACACTTGAAATGTGCCAGTCTATATGGTATTTGCTCTGATATAATATGCCACGTTTTATTTTCATTCAAGACTCCCGTAAAAGATTTTATCTAATTCATTTTCTCTTTATCATCTATGTTACACATTAATTTTTTGTTTCCCTTTTTGAAGACACCGTAGCGCGATTTCTATTGTTTAACGGGCTAACTTCGCCCGAATCATTCATGGTCGCGGTTATTGGTCGCCAAAAGTAGCCCACTAGAAAAACTTTCCGGGGAAATCCCCTAAATTATGCAAATTAAATTACGCGAAGTGGAGGTGCAATAATTAACATACACTGTACAGTTGAGAAATAGAGTACGACGCGTGATGCATGGGAATTCGAATCGAATTCAAATGCGGTTCTGCAGACTTGAACGTTGTATTTATAGTGCATAGACCCTATTATTAGTTGTCAGCACTGCACTGCATGCTGCAAGCTGCGCAGTCTGTCTGCTATCCGTCTGCTACATGTAGCTAGTGCTACGCCAAAATACTGTGACGTGTAATTTAATTACCGGCAAATCTCGCTCCCAGTGCAGCTAGCTGTAGACTACGTGCAGTGTTATGATGTAGTGCTGCGTGAATGCTTTTACGATTTATTAGTTGTGTGCCTTATGGATATAGATAAGAAGTCTGGACAATGGAGGATATACAAACCACTGTAATTGAACTTGTGAAAAGTGATTTTCTTGCAGCAGATCTGCGATGGAGCTTATTCATTGGAGCGTTGGATAGCTACAGACATGACAGTGTACTGAGACCATATCCGCCTGGCCCTCATCTACTGACAGCAGACGGGGAGAAGGACTTTTCTGCATTGGTAAAAAAAATAAAAGATGACCACATTTCGGCTTAACTTTAGAATACCCCACCAATAGGGTTAATATACATAAACGTCAACGACCTAGGGTTAGGGTCAGGTTTAGAGTTTATAAACCTTTTTCTTTTATTTAAAATTAGAGCATCCTAAAAAAAGATACTGAACTGTGAACGTAGGAATATCTTGCCTCTGTATTCAGTTCCAAAATTTGTTTCCTGTTCAAGCTGGCTGGATCATTTCCTGGTAGACCTACAGGAGATTCATAGTAAAATTTGATGGGTTCATTCTTCCAGGATCTCTAAAGCTACTTCAGTACTGTAGTCACATTCTTGGAGATAATAACAGTTCTATGTAAAATTGTAACTTGTAGCCTCTGGATGTAATTTCGGGCCACTTCTGAGACTTATGTACTTCCGGTGTACCACAGCATGCGCGTGCACAAGTATTATGCATGCTTAATGTATGTACATATTTAGGTGTCCGGAGGCTATTTCTAGGTTCCTTAATTATTGTCAGCAGTGAAAAAAAAGAGAAAGGTAGTCCAAATCATAAACGACTAGATTGGAACAATGGAAGACCCCTCTCAAAAGTTTGAGAAAATGATACATGTACATGCTTAACATTAGGACATCCCACCAAAATGCAGTTTGTCCGTTGATCATCCAACGAGCTAAAAGACACTTTATTGCAGTCCCGTCCTTAAGTATTTTAGTCTTTTTTTAGATTAGTTTTCGCATTTGCGAACGAACACAACCAAAGAAAAACTACCAGTAATTTACGTTATTACTTCTATGCTTCTTCTTGCTCTTGCCTATCACACATCCAAATACATTTATCTTATTTTTAGTATGTTTAACAATATTTTCATATGTTTTGTAATGATCCACGCTTGAAATCGCTCAAAAAAGTTTATAAATCAATGTGATTACTATCGGAAAATAAAGTACACACATCAATGATGGCATGCATGCACACCAATCCTGTAAAAAGTGTAAACCCATGACTGGTACCTTTTTAGGATTTATATTCTGATGATTAGTTTTTTGTTTTAATCAGTACAGTGTATGTAAGAATGACATTAAATTTACTAGCTTTGCTCGGAATCTTTCCCAAAACATGAACTTCGAGCTGAAAAATTTGACAGTGGCAACAGTGCCAGTGATAAGGCAATAAATCCAAAAATTATTTTTTTATTCTTACATTATTAAGCCAGATTAGTATTGTAATATAGTATATTCCTGTGTATTTGACATCATGTTTGGGGTTAGATCAAGGTATTCTGGTTATTGTCAACTTTTGACTGTCCATGACTCCCTTCTCTAATCTTTGATTTTATTTTTTACATTCATTAAAAGTTCTTAATCAGAGGATGTTGACCATATATCAAGATCTAACACTGGGTTATTAATATACAAATAATACACAGCAGTTAGGGCATTAGTAAGAATTAACCACACAAGGTACCTTTGGAAAAGTCTAACACGCCTGAGGCGATAGTCAAGGGTGTGTGGACTGTTTCAAAGGTACCGAGTGTTGGTAATTTTACTAATGCCCAAACAAAATGATGTGTATTATTCATTTTATAACATGATTTTTACTAATGACCGGTCATTAGTAAAATTATGTGTTAGGCAAAATAAATGCTTGGTCATGTGTACGCTCTCAACCAATCATTTGATTAGGATCCGCTTCATCATCTTATAAATATGACTACCGGGTAGTTAAAATACCTTCTGTTGTCTGGAATGCTATTTGGAGTATTTGTGTAGATGATGGTTGACATCGGTAATGTTGATATGTTGGTACCTCTGATTATTTTTATCAGGAATCTGTAGCAGGGAGGATTCCTAACATGAAGATGATATCAGAGGGTAAAGGATCTAGTGGAATGCAGCAGCATGAATGGGATCTTCTAAAGTGGGTCCTAGAACCAAACATCTTTACTGTCAAATCAGTCAATGAAGACAAGAAGGCAAGTAGATCTGCAGCTCATAAAAAATTGCTGAAACTCAATGCTGGGCATCATACAGTTTCCTATGATCTAATGGGATAGATAATGAACACCAAACTTTTCCTTACATTTTGGCCAGCACCATTTACTAGGCCATTCATCATTCAATGACACAACAAACCTCCAAAGTTTCTCTTTCACAATTCTCATTTTATCAGAATACTATTTTGCCATGAAACATCTGTATCAGCATTGATTTTGAAGGTATTAAGTTATTAACAATAATTACCACACTACTGTCAACTACTCAATTTTTTCTCTCTTCATGAATATAGTGTACTTGCAAATTTCAATTTTTTGATAAGTGCACATCAGACTGATCAGAGATTTAGTGGCTTTATCACCCAAAATTCTGAGTGTGGTTTGATTATTCCAAGTTCTTTTTTTTTCAAGAAAAAAGATAGCTTTTAGGAAGAAGATGATGAGTCAGATTTTTTTTTAAAATAAATATTATAAACATCTTTGTTACAGTACCATGCTATTCAGGAGCTAACTGGAGCAGCTAGCTATGAAGTGAAACCAAGCTTCATTTTTGAAGTGGAGTACCATTCTGCTGCAGGTGAGAGGTTCAAGACCCTGAGTGAACAATATGATGTGTTGTATGCCTACCATGGCAGTAGATGGGACAACTTTCATTCCATCACCAACAATGGCCTTCATGCACACATGAGCAAGGTGAGATTGATTGAACATAGAAGCTCCTTTCTACTTAGTCTAATTTATTGGTATTAGGAATAATGATCATGATTTGAAATGTTATTGTACCTTAACCCATTAGCAACTAGAGATTTTGAGAAAAAAATGGCCCATTTCTCACTGGAAGATGTTGCAAAACTTGCAATATTACTCTCATTTTTACATTGTTCTGAACAATATAAAACATGCACTATTTTTTAATGCAGAATCCTACTGTAGACATTGTAAGGATTACGCATGTATAACATTATCACGGTAGACCCTGTGCTGTAGAAGGATACTACAGCTTGTTGAAAACGGACAAAAACAGAAGGGCGTATTCGGGCGGGTTCAGTGAGTAAAAGGAGGGGCGGTTTCGGGCAGTTTAGTTGTTAATAGTGCTGTAACATCACGGATATCTCCAATTCCGTTTAACCGCCAGTCAAAACCGGACGGTTTTCGGTTAAACTATTTAATTTTTTTTTTTTTTTTTTTTTGTGGCCGACTCTGTCGGCAACAAGCCAGGTCCGTGTGAAAAGCGGGAAGGACTTTCATTTAACCGCGAGATGCAGTTAAAGTGCCGATTTGTGCTTGTGAACTTGTCACAAATAAAACTAACAATGTCATTTTTAGAAGAATGTGTAAGATCATTAATGTTAATTAAAAACAGGAGAGGACCTAGGATAGAACCTTGTGGTACACCTTGTGTAAAAATTGGATGAATTATTATTATAAACTACATATTGAGATCTATTACAAAGATTACTTTCAAACCAAGATGACAGACAAATTGGAGTGTTGTTCTAGTTTTGGAGTGGTGAGTCAACACACAGATTATTGAGCTGGGAGACATTGGGCCGTATGCATAAAAAGTAGCAATTGCTTGTGCTAGCCTTTTAATTGAATCCGTATGCATAAACATAATCAATTGCTTGCAAGCAAATGCTTTTGCTAGCAAGCACAAGCAATTGCTTGATGTCCGCAAGCAATTGCTTAAAGATCAAGCAATTGCTTAAAAACGTATGCATAAAACGAACCTTTTGCTTGTTCTTATAAGCAATTGCTTACGTTTTTTCAAGCTCCGTCATATCAGCTTGAGCTCTTGCTTAATCGGGACGTTCGCGGTTAAGCATCATGTTTATGCTCGTTAGAGAAAAACCAAAGTTGTACAGGAGTAGAATAAATCGAGAAGAAATTGCTCCCGAGACCTATCGGAAACTATTCTGTTTCGACAAAGAGAACGTTGAGTGGTTAGCACACAGGTTCATACCTGAACATGATGAAAAACGGGGAGGATGTCTGACAACGGTGGAGAGCATGGAGGCCACTCTCCACTACTTGGCGAAACCCGCCTTTGTTCTCCCATGAATGATGTTCGCACCGGCGTGACGTCGCTATTGTTGAGATCGTAAGCAATTGCTTGCTGGAGGCAAGCAAAAGGTTTGAGCACAAGCAAAATGTTATGCATACGGATTTAAGCAATTGCTTGAGCTTGATCTTTTGCTTGACAAGCAATTGCTTGTGCTTGAAGCAATTGCTTGCAAGCAATTGCTACTTTTTATGCATACGGCCCATTGCCAGGCATAGTGCCAGGTGGAGGGGCATAAATCAAAACTTTAAAAAGAATTTTTTTTTAAATTATTAAGAAAAAAAAATTTAAAATTTTTTTAAAAAACAAAAACAAAAACAAAACAAAACGGGAAAACGAAACCGTCCAATTGAAAACGGAATCCGCCATGGGCAGTCGGATACCGGACGGTTAAACGTTTGACTACAGCACTAGTTGCTAAAGGCTTAAAGTTATTTAATTTGACTTTGTTAAAAGAGCATTCCAAAAGATGATAAAGAGCAACATTATGTAGGTGGTGACAATATTGGAATCCTCTTAAATAACTTATTGATTGGTTATGATGATCTAATCACTAAACTCCTGATGTAATTTGAACAACCTGTTTTTCTGAAAATCACATTTGAACTCTTTGGTATTCTGTTTACCGGTATATATTTTATATTTTATTTTATTTTTAATTTATGCCAATCTAAGTTCATTGTAATATATTGATATGTATATTTTGTAATTTTACATGTTTTCAGGCATCAACGGCTGCAAAAATATATTTTAATAAACCTTGAATTGAAATCTGCTATTTTAGGGCTATTCAAACAGCGGTATGAATATAATCAGTGTTATTCAAATTCATTCAGGCATGGCTTTTCTAAGGTTTATTACAGTCTTAGGAAGATTTATAAACAAATAAATAAGCAATGCAATGACTTTAAACAAAAATGTCAAAAAGTATTGAATAGTATAGATATATACCGAATTCACAAACAAATCTACAAAGAATTCTTACCTTATCCATTAAAACATCACAGAAAATCTGAGACACTGTCTGTAAATCTTCACTTGAAAATTACCTGAATGTAGCGATCATTTGGGAATCGCAGACAAAAATCACTGTATACATGCAGTATCCGCGCTCGCACAAAGAAACTTTTTACACCTAAACCAATGGGGATCTCAGCACAATTTATGTGGCCTGTTACCCAGGGCAACAGGCATCTTTAAAAAAAGCTATTGACCAGTAGGCGGGCATGGCTCAAATCACAACTCCAATTTTGACCAATCAGATGACTATATTTATTCAACATATTAAAGAGAGGTATATAATTTCTTTTATATCATGAAGTTCAGTGAATACAACTCAGTTCAGTTAACACAATGAATGCAATTTTAATATCTTTAACAAAAAAAAAAAAGATTTTTGTTATCCTTGTAGTTGTAAATTTATACATGTGTACTTTTAAAAGATTTTTGACTTTGACATCTTACCCAGAACACTCTGTATGGTGAGGGCACATATTTATCAAGTGACCTGGCAGTATCGTTACCATACAGCCCTGCAGGCAGAGGCTGGACCCGGAGTCTAATAGGTAGCACACTGAGCTGTGTTGCTGTCTGTGCAATGCTGGATCATCCTGATGTCAAATGTCAGGTCAAAGGTCAGTGGTCTGTGAATCAAATCTGGAAGACTTTGGTGGAAATCAACTGATTAATCATTGTTACATGTACATTGTAACATTATAAAAATGTTGCAGGGAGAAAGGAAAAAGATTATGATCATGATGTCCTGCGAGTGGGAAATTATTCAGAAAGGTTGTGTTTCAAGCTTTTGATGCTTTTCAATATAATATTGCTATGGTCAGTATGGTGTGGGTAAACACTAAACCTAGCTTGTTCCAACTAGTTTGAAATAATTTCCCAGTTACAGTCCAATAAACTAAAATCTAAACATTCAGCATTAGGTGGGCATATATGAAATTTTCATATGAATGATTCTTATAAAGAAACTAATGTTCATATGATCAATGTCTTTATGATGAAAGAGACAAACTGTTTGATGTAGAAATTGCAGGGTTTTTTCACACTTGATTCTTTTATAAATTTCTACCCGAAAGACTTCTTCAGATCCACCCCATGCAGTAATTTGAAAAATCAAACAGTCACCTGTATCTTTTTTTACTTCAATATATGTCCTTTAAAAAAATTAGATTCAGATTAAAATGAATGAATGAAGAAAAAGACAAAGATTTGAGCCTTTGAACAAAGTGGCCTTCATGATTGAATATTTTGTGTTTTGATTCCAGATGCACAGAGCCATCCATCTCCTTCCAGATCTCATGCCCCAGACAGTATGGGAGGCGCTGTACCTGAAAGATATTATGTTGTGACTAACAGTGAAGCAGTTCAGATCAAGTATTTACTCATCTTTGTTGACAAGAAGATATCACAAAGGTAATAGATTATGCTAAAGAAGTGTAAGCTTGTAGTAGTATGCAAATCCATGTCATTGTTATTATTGAGTGGAGGTCTCACTGCAAAGTGGATCATTCACTTCAAGACTCTCAATCCTAAAGTTGGGGTTCAAATCCCAGCCAAGCACTAATGTCCTTTGGCAAGACATGAATCCACGTTTGCCACTCTCCACCCAGGTTGAAATGGGCACCTGGCAATTGCTGGGGTAATAATAAATGCAAGGGCCCTCAGGAAGAAAATCTTTGATATGTATGAGGCTTAGGAATGATATATATTTTAAAGGGCAATCCAACCCTTGTAATAAGTTCATTTATATGAAGGCAGACAAAACAGAATAGTGGCGAAAGTTTAAAACAAATCTGACCAATAATTTTAAGAGTTATGAATGTTTGAAATATGATTTCACTAAATAAGTGCAAATCTCAAATAGGCTAGTTGGATTATGACATACAGGTAGTCACAGACAACTCTCCCGTTTATCAGCACAAACATTTTATTAATTGCTGTTTTCCTCTTACGTGCTTCTCCCTTTGGGGGTACTACTCAAAATATGTTAAGGATAGCTTATCATTGTAGGTTCTCTATAAAAGTTCCTCTTGAATCATACAATTTTGAAAAATTGAAATTTTAATCATTTTGTATGTTGGAACAAAAGAAAAAGTTGTCCGTCACTACATCACAGAGATATTAATGATTCAGTCAATTTGAAGAGTCCAAACCTATAGTGATTACAACGCTCAAACATTCATAACTTTCTTATATTTTATCTGATTTCTTTCAAACATTGATTAGTCTACTTCTCTGATTTGTGTTGCCTCCCTCTAGAGTAGTTTGCTATAAAGGTTGGATTCCCCATTAAAATTGGATAAATAGGCCTATTGCTTTTTTGTTTCAATCATGAAAGTGACACAAAGACGGTTATTGTCTAATGTATTTTGTCATTTATCCAGGGCATCTTCAAGGGTTTCACATCGTCAGAGATGGATACGAGAAAACCTCTTCTCTCTTCTCCTGGTGGGATACATCATAGTGCTTATCTTTGTCAGTTTCTTTAACTCCAGATCATTTCAAAGTATGTGGCGACGATATGTCAATTCTTGATCGAGAACCGCATGCATAGATTCAGACAGATGGAAAGGCCTGTTTGCACATAGACCTTTGGAGTCACTCATGAAAAAGAGCCTTATTCTGACTACGGCCATCGTTGAGAGGCCTTTTGTCGACATTGATATGGACAGAAGATAATTGGAGTGATGTTGACAGGGTTCTTCCTATGTTGACAGAAGATTTTCGTGACAGCAGGTCTTGAAGATGTTCAGAGAACAATTACATAGAATGTGGGAGAGTATTTTTATGACACCAATGACACTTCACTCCATTATCTTGTTTCATTTTATATTGTAATCATTAATTTTGTTTGAAATGGTTCAAAGAATGGCTCAGATTGTACCAAAGAGCATCTTAGAATGCAAGAGACTCTGCGTGTTGTACACATCAGTTCAAACTCCCTCCGAAAGTCACAAATTTACATGTTTTAATTTTTATTTTTGGACCATCTTAGTTGTACTACATATCAACATGCCTACAGAAAAAAGTTGTTACATAAGATGGCCCTAATCATGACCACAGTTGGACTGTCTTGTAATCAATATGTCGTCATGATAGACAGATGAAATAGAATAGAAGAGATTGGAAAATAAGTGAAGTGTTATTAAAACTAACCTGGCTGCAAAAGAAATATGGAACCATTATCAAGATTTTCTAAAGTGCAGGTTATACACATATATATTATACAAATGTTGACCGCTTTGAGGGGCACGGTAAAAAACTATGGCCCGAGGTGAGCTCGCAACTGTGTTATGCATAACGCAGTTGCGAGATCACCAAGGGCCACGGTTTTTAACGTAACGCAGACTAAAAGGCACTCACTATTTTTTTTACATACCGCATCCTTCGTTAGCTCAGAAATTAATTTCATAGACAGATGAAATATGGTACCATAATGTAATTCTCATCGATCGCTCTTTCAAAATTTTGTTGGGTATACATTTATGATATGGTGCGTATCTGAATTGCCATAGCTACGCGCGCATACAAAGACATAATACTATGCCCGGTCGATTTTTCACCATACCGCCCGGCAGTCTGTAGCGAATTTCATGCCCGCAAATTTGACCAATCAGAGGCCTAGAATCTACACATGCGGTATGTAATGAAATATATTCAACCTTGCCTATTTTTTATGCCTCCGTTACGAAGTAGTTGGAGGCATTATGTTTTCGGGTTGTCCGTCCGTCCGTACGTCCGTACGTCCCGTTCTCGTGATCGCGTTATCTGAAGAACCAATTGATGGATTCCTGCCAAACTTAAGTCATGTATGTATCTTGCAGAGCCGTTGAACTGATTAGATTTTGGGGTCATGAGGTCAAGGTCAAAGGTCATGTGGGTCATTATGTATGCAAAAATAGTTTGTGATCGCATTATCATCAGAACAGATTGATGGATTCCTGCCAAACTTAGATCATGTATGTATCTTGCAGAGCCAATGAACTGAGTAGATTCTTGGGTCATGAGGTCAAAGGTCATGGGCTCATGTATGCAAAAATAGCTTGTGAACGCGTTCTCAATAGAACTGACAGATGGATCACTATTTAACTCGGGACATCTTGCAGAGCCCATGAACTGAGTAGATTTTAGGGTCATGAGGTCAAAGATCAAAGGGTCATATATGTTTATGAGAAATTGCTTGTAATCACGATATTCTGAGAACCTGTTAATGGAATACAATTGAACTTGAATTTTAAAAATTTCTTCTGTTTTGGTTTGTAAAATTGCTTTATGACAGAGGCATCATTTTCGACTGCGCGCAGTCGAAGTTCCATCTAGTAATTCATACTTCAAAAATCTTAAGCTTGTTTTTTTTTCTTCATTTTTATTTTTTTATATAATTTTAATGTTCTTTTAGTTGATTTTAAATGTTTAAAATCATGCATCCTGTCACACTTCATCCTGTCACACTTCATGGCATATGTCTTACAGTGAAATATAATATTCCTGTAAATTGCAGTTAGTAAATTTTCATGTGTTTTTATATATGCTTGAGCATGTTTTATTTTAATCCTGAACAAAAAAAATGTGTATACTTAGCTATTCCATCGAAAGGTAGTTTGAGATTTAACAGATGTTTTATCAGTTATTTTGTAGACACAAATTTCGAAATGAATTGTTATTTTAGAAAAGAAAATATTAGCTAGTTTGATTTATAGTTGCCAAACTGAGATTTAAAGATGAGAAAGAGGAGGAAATAACACTATTTTTTTTTCTTCTTTCTTCATTGTTTGGGAATAAATAGACAAATTGGAGTGAGTAGAGTACCGTAAGGATATGGCAAGCACATATATAATGGTATATATTCAATAATCATCATCTCAGCTAAAGAGCTGAATTACAAATGATTTTACAATAAAAAGTGCATGAACTTAATTAATTATAAACAGCAAATATTACCTCATAATAATTATAGGATTATTACGTTAGAACAGGAAAAAATGTTTCTATCCCAAATTAGGCTTGAAAGGAAAGTAGAAAAGGAGACGCCAAGTTATGAAATAATTATTAGATGGGTAAATTTTGTAGATTACAACAAATAGTTCAAGGAGGTAACATATTGTATTGAAAGTTTTGGAGTTCTCATAATTTTGCTAAAGCATTAGGGTAGTATTGTAAAATAAGTAATCCGTGGAGAAAATTGAGCAATATTTATAGTAATTAATAGAAATCTTTCAAAGCAAAATTAGCAATAAACTTGGAACGTGTAAAGACACCATATATACATGTACAGGTATTGCATATACAACTGTATACACTATATGGGGACCAGGAAGTTTTTGTAACAAGAAATGTACAATATTTTTCGTTTGTTGAATTGACGAGGGATATTTTGAAAGTTGAGAAAAGGAATTTATATACCTTAGCTCCTCACAGAAGTATAACAAAGTTTATACAACAAGGTAGCCTTCTGCTTTATTCATGAACAAATTCCAGTTGTACACCCCATAATCATGAATACATATGAAAACCAATCCTTCATGGCATCAGCTCCAGCTTTCTGGAATTCTCCTAACCATAACAGTTAGGAATATATCTTATCTTTATGTTTTTGAGAAAGCCCTCAAGAGTTAAGACCCATCTTTTCTTAAATTAGTTAATCATTTTCTGTATTACATACAAATATTTGTCTCCAAGTTTGTAATGTACAGTTCATAGAGAATTAAATTGCAATTTATTATGCGCTATACAAATTTAATATTATTATCATTATTATTTATATTGCATTTACTTTGAGTTGAAACCTTTATTGCTAAACTTTTTATTTTTAAGAGATCCTAAACGAGTTTCTTTTCAATGCTAATGCTAATGCTTCAAAATCATTTTGAAATTCCCATTTTTTATACTGATGATCAGAAAGTACAATAATGATTGAAAGACATGCAATTACTCATCCCAAGTAGCTTGAAGTATACTTGTATGTAATGCCATTGTAGTAGATGTCTCTTTTCTCTGGCAATAACCAAATTTATGCATATATATGCCTTTGTGAAGAGCCTCAATACAAATTAATCCATACACCTTGTATCTCAATAGTCAGCATGCAAATTGCATACGTTAGTTGTTGCTATGTAAAACAAACATTATAGATTTTCCTACCTAGCAACACGTAATAAATGCAATTTTCATTCGGACTATTGAATTACAATTATGTGAATGAAATGATTTGTATCAAAGGCACTCTTGTATAAATTTAGTTACATTATGAAAATGGCCTATTTATGGAAAAATGTGGCACACTCTAGCAATTATGCTCAATAGACTTGTTTACGGTACTTTATTACATGTATTTCATTTTATGCGGGTTTTTCTTAGAGCCATCTCATCTGATGCCAACTATTTCATTCCATTTCATTCACCTGCCATGCAGAATGGCATCTCTACGGATGGTATGCACTTTGTTTACATTTAGTTGTTGCAATGTTGGGCAAGCTTTTGAGTTGTCTAGAGGAACTATTATTCAAGAAGTATGCATAAATTAGTACACAGGCCTAAACCATATACATGTCACACAGAGTTCATGAGCAATAGCAGTCATCACTTTATGTATGAAACATACTTAAGATGCCAATGCGATCTCAACAAAAACCTCTTCCTTTCGAGGTGATGGAGAAATTGAGACCTTTTCGTTCTGTTGCCAATTCAAAAGCTGTGCACACTAATTTCACTTTTCTGATTTTAATTTAACAAAGGTAACACCCGACGCTGTAGCAGTCACATTTTGCAATGATAAAAATTTAATGCAAAGGTATTGACTATAGAGGTCTAGGTCTTGACCTGAACAACTGTGCAATTATGCAATACATGTGCATCGGTTTTATGATTTAACTTTTGCCACATAACTGATAACTGTATTTTAGAGTTACAAGTGATGTAACGCCCTTGTCATCATCATTCTCTTCCTGTAAATGTTTGCCTGGAACTTCAAAAAACATTGTATGCTAATAATCACATTAAAATATTAACATAAAACTTAAGTTAGTGTGTGTAGCAATGTGTATGGGCAAAATACAGAAGAGGTCTAAACTTCCCGTTATAATGTAGGAGGGGGAAGCAGCTTGATGAACAAACAGATGGAATGCAACTAAAGTGTATATATAATAAAACATATCTTTATTTATTCTTAAGGTCTGTTCTAATATACATGTATTCATTTTACTTTTTTTGTCTTCCAATAAAAACAACATATGTACTAGCAAAAATCTTTTGAAGATTGACTGGTATTAGTCTTTTGTGTTACATTTGTGTATCATGACAAGGTGCTGAAAATATGTTTGTCTCTATTCTCTTCCCCCCCCCCCCCCCCTCGTTCCCCTTCCTTTGCTCTCTCTCTGCTTCTCTGTTATTTTATTCTCCACTCTAGTTTCTCTTCTCTTGTTCTCCATCTCTCTCTCTCTCTCCATCTTTCTCTCACTCGTCTTTCTTCCTCTCCCCCTCTTCACTTTTGGCTCTTTTTATAATTCTCTATGATTTTGTGCCTGTTGCCTGAACATAGGCACGTAACTTTTTTGTGCATCATATAATGGACTTGTACTTTGCATAATCATAACTTGAAGAAGCCTTGTGGGCGAACAACTATTACACCAACACCATTACGTTATCACTAAAGTTTTTGCTTTTGCATTGAGTCTCTTTTTAAACCTCTCCATCACAGAACAACATCTTCTCTTTATCTGTATACAAATTATGTGTGCTTGTCTATCTACCGTATCTTCGTAGAAGTGCATAAAGTACATATCTAACTATGATATAACATCTATACCCGTCTCAAAAGGACTTTGGATATGTGGTATTTCATTTGTAGTAATATGTTGTATCATATATATATATTGCATTGTTATGCTTTATAATTTTGTTATTACACCCGGTGAATGGATTTCAGAGTCGCACATAAGTATGTGCCATATCCAATCCCTCGGGAGTACTGTACTCCTAATTTGCACCATTCTATTGCATAAATTCAGGCCGTTGGCAATGGCAAATGCAATCGTAATAAATCATATCAATCTAGTTTGTATTAGTTCCAAGCATTTCAGATTCTTTTGGACACCAACTAATGCTGACTTAAATAGCTTCATTTTTTGTTTTAATTTTAAAAAAAGAAAAAAAGAATTTGCAACAATTAAATACTGTAGTAAAAAATGAATGGAAAACTCAATTTTGAGAAATCAAATTTTATTTGAATTATTGCAAATAAAAAAATGCATATAACAAACTCACACATCTCATAAAAGATCAATAAATATATGTACACTTTCCATAACAGCAGTTACAAAGAGAATAGGATAAATACAATGTCACACAGTATTATATGGTCTGCTGAGTGCCAGGAGAGTAATAGACAATATAATTGCTCTTAAAGATACTATGTCCCTTTTGCAGCTAACATCAAATTTTGTAGAACTTTGCAGGAACTATGAATATGTCATGTACATGTATGTACAATGTATGTCCTATCTGTGAAATTTAAATATTCAAATTATGCAAGGAAACCTGTCAACTTGCTACACTGTCAGACACTATTGAGTGACTGACTGGCTTTTTTCATCTTTGGTAATAACATACATGAAATAAGCTGTTAAGGGTACATGAGCATTTGTCTACATCAATAACCCACTTCTTGTAATGGCCAAAATTAATCTGATTGAATCTTTGCGTAGCATAAAACGTACAACCATTCGATACAATGGTCTGAAAAAATCAGACTATTACTTACTGGTTCTATAGCTCCTAAGTCGATTCAACAACTAATAGTCTTTGTTTTCCCAGTTAAAGACATTTTCAAGCCCCCTTTTTTTTAAGGGAAGTTCTAAATTAATATTGTCTTTCAAATGCCGTTGGAATTTAACCTTTTCATTTTTTTTGGCCTGCAAATGGGACATAGTACCTTTAAGGCTTGTTCAGATTGGCCAAAAAAAGATACAGAAATATTACACTTCATTTCATCATTTTAAAAATGCAGTGGTTTTGCCGCATCATATCTGAACAAGCCTTTACACAGCAAAACAAAAGGCCAATAGCCTTTCACACATAAACATATCTACATAACTTCAATATGGAATTAACATTTTGGTCAAGTTGTATCAGCTGAGAATCAACTGAAGTATTAGGTATGTATAAAGTTATAGCAAAATCTGTCCTCTTGTCTCTCATGTAGCATCACATGGGTATCGTGATCAGACTCTTTTTCATTCATTAGGCCCTGGTTAAATATAAAGGAAAACCATGATGACTTAGGCCTAGAATATAGATCGTTTTAGAAAAGGAGAGGGAAACTAGATGGAACTTCGACTGCGTGCAGTCGAAAATGATGCCTCCGTCATAGAGCAATTTTACAAACCAAAACAGAAGAAATTTTTCAAATTCAAGTTAATCCATTAACAGGTTCTCAGAATATCGTGATTACAAGCAATTTCTCATATACAAATATGACCCTTTGATCTTTGACCTCATGACCCTAAAATCTACTCAGTTCATTGGCTCTGCAAGATGTCCTGAGTTAAATAGTAATCCATCTGTCAGTTCTAATGAGAATGCAATCACAAGCTATTTTTCATACATAATGAGCCCATGACCTTTGACCTTATGAAACAAGAATCTACTCAGTTCATTGGCTCTGCAAGATACATAATCTAAGTTTGGCAGGAATCCATCAAACTGTTCAAATGATAATACGATCACAAGCTGTTTTTGCATACATAATGAGCCGCATGACCTTTGACCTTGACCTCATGACCCCAAAATCTAATCAGTTCATCAGCTCTGCAAGTAACATACATGACCTAAGTTTGGCAGGAATCCATCAATCCGTTCTTGAGATAACGCGATCACGAGCTGTTTTTGCATACATAATGTGCGCTGTGACCTTTGACCTCATGACCCCAAAATCTAATCAGTTCATCGGCTCTGCAAGTAACATACATGACCTAAGTTTGGCAGGAATCCATCAATCGGTTCTTCAGAACGCGATCATGAGCTGTTTTTGCATATATAATGAGCCCTGTGACCTTTGACCTTGTGACCCCAAAATCAAATCAGTTCATCGGCTCTGCAAGATGCATACATGACCAAAGTTTGGCAGGAATCCATAAATCGGTTCTTCAGATAACGCGATTACGAGAACGGGACGTACATACATACGTACGTACGGATGGACGGACGGACAACCCGATAATGCCTCCAGCTACTTCGTAATGGAGGCATAAAAACATGAATGCATCTGTTAGTTGATCAGGAAGCTTAATATTTATCCTGTTACCATTTGACCCCAAAGGGCAAGCTTTGGATTTACTACAGTAGTATCATGTTGTTGAGTATCCTGCATTGGTCAATTCCTATCATACAAACTTGCCCATTTGCTTTTGTAGAAGATAAATTGAAGTACTGTATAGTTATGGTAGGATAACAATATATATTTTGTAAAGAACATTTTAGATTGTTTTTATATATGTTCACTTTTAGACAATTACATGTAAATACATATATATATGACATCCAGTCATTTTGGGTGTATTGGATATAACAAAAAATCCAATGAAAAACCAATATAATTGATACAGGTTTGTGATCATTCTTCCAAGGTCTGGGGTGCAGATTAAAGGTCAGAGTTTTGGGAACAGATACAAGCAACAACCATCCATAATCTTCTTTTTTCCACAATTTGCATCCCCCGATTCTTGAGCTCTTCATTGCTGGTAAGTATGTTGGATAATAACACAACCCTAGTAGTACTTTCCTGCATTGGTTTCTCTATTTGGAGTCACACACAATCTCTGTAGATCTTTAATGGAGGTATACATGAAAGACATCTTATACCAGTCATGCAGTGTATCAGAACATACTTTAAATATCAAGGACAGGATATCATCACATATTTCCAGGACCTACAATAATTCACCACAACTTGACACGTCTTATTGAAGAGTTATAAATGTTGCAAAACACCCTTTTATTATAGCATAAATGTATCGAATGCATGAATAGCAAGGTAACACTCTTATATAATAAGACTCTTCTATAATACTATCTGAGGAAATGAAGAGGTGAATTTAAATACCAAAATTCCTTTCTTGCGAAAAAAGTTGACAAAGCTTTATAGGTTGCTGGCGAAGGGCATTTAAGACATAATATAACATGAAAATACACAGAATTACTTTGACAATAATTTCAGCTTCTAGTTGGTAATGGGGGTCTTTTCTCCCTTCCACAGCTCTCGTAGTTCCACTTTGAGGTCTAAGTCTCTTAGCGCAGCCTTAGATTCATCAGGACAGTGCTTTGCAGCATCTCTGAGAAGACCCTCAATCCCAAGCTGTATAAATGGCTCCTTGTGCTCACGGGTCCTAGCGACTAGATTCCTCACTGCCATACAGGCTTGTGTCTGTAGGATCAAACATAAAAACCACGGAATGACATTAGAGTCGAGATGCTAGCAGTTACTCTGACTTAGTGTTACTGTTTCGAACGACATAAATATCATAAATATCAGAATAATTTGATGAAATTGTGAAATTTGTGGAAGCATTTATTGGTTTGAATCTGAATTTAAATTTTTATTAGTAAACGTCATTACATGAATATTTTGTTTCACATTACATTACATAAACAAGAAAATCAACAAGTGGTATAGTTTCGTGAGTAATTGCAAGCTAACAATAAACAATGTAGCTTGTATATACAGTGGTAAATAATATTATTACAAAATAATTATATGACACGAACCAGCCTATGTTTGACAATGAAGATACATAACAAATGGGAATGATAATTTTGATGTTGATGTTCTATTGATATATATGTTTAATTTTTTAAATATTTTTTAATCACATACATTTACATGGGTGGGATGTTAAAATTCTGCCTAAGTATTTATGATTGTTTTAATATACAGTGATCAATTATATTTTCATTCTCAAGTTTCATAATGCTTACAAATTTCTCTTTATCGCTAAGATCTTTGATATGTCCAGATATCTCTGCCATTTTATTGAGAAATACCCCACTTAACAGTCATTACAAGTTCTTAAATGTGAAGGTATTTTTTCCGGACTTCTATGTCTCCCAGTTTCTATCGGTAGATTGTGTGAACTAATTCTAAATCGGCAGGTATTTGTTTGTAGTTCGTGGTTTGAATGCAACTGTACAAAGAATTTTAAAAGACATTAAAAGAATAATACCTGAACTTTAGCTTCATCAGAATGTATGGTAAGAATCTGAACAAAAAGTTTGGCACCTTCAGCATCCATTACTGCTTGGCAGTTGATTGGTTTACGAAGAACAATGGCTGCCACAGCTCCACATCCAGCCTGACAAACCTATACAATACCATCCAAGAGACAAATTAGGTTAACAAAAATGGGTTTTTTACATCCTGTACATGTAGATCATTATATATTCAATCATGAGTTAAATGAAATATCATGGTACCAAAGACACAAATATTTAAGTTGTTTCCCCGCAGAAGCAAGATTGACTTTTCTACTCTGAATTTTATTGTATACTTCAAATGTTGTCCTTTGAATGGAAGAAGAAATTACATTTGCATTTCTTTCACAATGATTGCTATTCATCTCTTTAATTAAAACAATTCAGAAGTTTTGCTAAGCACTGACGGAACTTGGGCATCTTGCTTTAAGCAACCCTAAAATCCAAACACAAGTCCTGATAGGCTGACAGTCAGATCCTGTTTAATTTTGGGAGTACATCTTCAATTACAACGTCTGCATGATTTCTACGATATAAACATATACTGAATGTACATTGCAACATAGAAAGGCAACATCTGTAGACATGGAAATAACCTGGGGGAAAGACAAGCATGAATCCATGTCTCTGATCCAGACTCTTTCTCTCTCACCTGAGGTGCTCGTACGTATCTTGACATGGCTCCCAGGATAGTACGGATACCTCCTGCATTGACTATGGCAATCTTGACCTCATCATTACCAGCTATTGCCTTGAGTAGTTCAAGAAGCTGTCTCACGACCACCTGTAGAGTCAATATAGATAATGGATAAGAGATCACTATGGTCTTATGGAAGTTTACAGGTACATGCCTGTTTCGTTGAATGAACATAAACTATACTTTTTTCATGCATTATCATCAGTTACAAGTATCATGTTTAATATAAGTTCGCTTCATGGAGATGTACTTGTGAGATACCATACTTAATGTTTTCCTTGTATTTTTGAGGACACCACCATTAATGTTAGCATGTATTCAGTGTGTGTCAGAATAACAACGTACGGGTATAGTTGTCAGTGTAGAAACCATTATGTATTTCTATTTGCCATCAGAAATTGGCTTAAGATGCAATGTGCCTGTTACAAGGAATGTTTTCCTCTTAAACCAGAGTTCCTGCAAAAGAAGTGAGTTTGCTTAAAGTATAAATATAAGATGAAATTTAGCCAATTTAATTTACATTAGTTACATGGTTAATTGAACGGTATAGATTCATGTGAGTTAACACGTATGAGAGTGTGCATGAATGAGGTGTCACATTGTAGATTTGTTACCGATAGTGGGCGTGTGTAACACGTTGGGTTAAAATGACATAGAAAAGAAATGGTCATGGTATTGGATATGTAATACAGTATTATAAACTTGAGTTAGTTCATTAAGCAGAGTGTTGTTAATTGATGCTTAGGAAAGAAAGCAGTTAGTTTAATCCTGTTAGAATTGCAGAGAACAAATATAGCATATGTGTTACAAGTAAATCCTTATTTGTTTAATACGAAAGATTATCTTTAGGAGGATAGAGTACGTAGCTATAGAGATTGATTTCATTAGTCATTTATTATGACAGGTACATTAGTATGTGAAAGGACACATCATGCAAGCACTCAAGTAATTATTCAGTGTAATAGATTATGCAGATAAGTGAGCATAAATTATAGATATAATTTACAGACTTAGTTATTCTTACTAGGTATAAATGAAAACACAAGCACAGAAATTTAAGTGCAATACACAAGTATTTATTTACATGTGCTAAATGTCTGTATGTATTCTTGTTACATGTATTTATTTTATACAGATTGAATTGTTACTACGACTTCTCAAGAATAAAGCACACCGGAAGTCAAATCCAATTTGCGCAGACTGAGTTTCTTTGGGGTAATTGCTGGGTGTTTGAGCCACTATAGATAATGGATAATGGATACTTTGTCAAGAGATCACTATGGTCTTATGGAAGTTTACATGCCCTTCGTAAGACACATCATTATTTCAACTTTGATGAAACCGTCAGCATTTAATGGTAACAAGTCAAATGCGACTGCGTCTCCTATATGCCTCTGCCCTAATTTCAGTATAGGAAATGGATGGAATTATTCACGACATATCACGATGAAAACAAAAAGCCTATACTTAAATGTCAACTGACAACTATGATCTTGACCTACTAGTAATAGCTCCAAAATCTAATCAGATCATGACATCTTCCTATGGTAGTTTATAGTTTTAACAAGATTGAGCCTCATATATCTCTAGTGGTTCTTTAGATATCGCGATAACGAGACCAATACCTGGAACTTCACCTCTGTGACCTTTGACCTAGTTACTACAAAATCAAATCATATTGTCTTCCTATACTACCATAAAAGGCATCGTTTAACAATGTTAAATCTGAGATGCACGGCCCTACACTGTACGTAGGCTTTTAAAAGTCATGGGGTTCCTGACTGACCTATTTAAAGGTTTATAATTAGCATGAGCTAAATCCAGGATTTTGTTTCAGAATCTGAGACAAAGTTACCAGATCCCTCTTAAGTTTGAAGTTCATATCGTAAGTCATTCTTGAGATATCGCGATAATAGAAAGGGGGACGGACAGAAGGACAACCTCAAAACATAATGCCTCCTGCACCACCTTCGCCTTCGGTGGCTAGAGGCATCCAAATTTCATCCACCTTGTAAGGATTTTTTTTGTGGAATATTGTTTATAAAACTTGACTTTGCTTTCAAAATAATGAAACTAATGACTCCGAGTGCTATCCTTCTCTAACATCTAGGTTATGTGACACCTGAGACAAATCAGAATGATAATTAAGGATAGTATTTCATCCACCTTTCTTCAAAATCTTGAAATCAGTCGATTTACTCAATCATATCTGAATTTTAGTGATTGATTATAAATAGGCCTGATATATCACTGTTTCCTATAACCAGGGCCTGATGGCTGAAAACCGGACAGACCTGATGCTTACATAAATTTCTACACGTGGGACAGCATGGTACAGATTTTGCATTGAATTTGCAAAAACCTAGAAATTGGCTTGGACAGGTCAGAAAGGTTGCTAAAATGTCACCTTTTACACTGGTTGAAATGTCATGCCACAGTTCATTCTCCAACAGAAGATACATGTACTAGTATCGTTTTTTGGAATACTGTTTATAAAACTCGACTTTGCTTTAAAAAAAATGAATATCTCTGAGGTTATCCTTCTCTTTAAACATCTTGGTCATGTGACACTTGGGAAAAATCAGAATCCCTCCGCTGTGGCATGACCTAATCACCTAAATAACCTGGCCATTTTAGGTTAAATGGAAGTCCACCCGCATATTATCTTGGTTTTAATAAAAGCAAAAAATGAGAGAAAAAAATCAATGAATGTTTGAGCAAGATCCAAGGAAACTTGGAAAAGTTATGAATTTTTGAAATTGTCATTAGTGTAACACAAATTGCCAACACTGCGACGTTTTGCGAGTTCCTCTCCAATTTCTTCTGTACAGACAATTTCATAAACTTTCATTTTCTTTGTTATTTTAAGTACAAGTAAATAGAAGGAGAACTCGCAAGATACGTCACATAGTTGCCAATTTGTGTTTCATTGATCGTACCTTCAAAAATTCATAATTTTCTTATTTTTAATCACTTTTTGCTCAAACTTTCACTGACATGTTTCTCTCATTTTTGTGCTAATATCAGGGTGGACTTCCCCTTTAATACACACATATTGCATATTTTGGTTTCGTTCAAAAGCCTTTTTCTTACCCACCTGGCTAGCTAGATCATCACCCAACACCTTCAAGACTGACTTCAAACCTCCTAGATTGACAATCTCTTGGCAGAACTCATTCCTGACTGAGAGACGTCCTAAGGTCGAACTGAGGTCACCTACAGCAGCCTGATCGTGCATGCAACCTGCAAGGAAGCCATGTACCGCAACAGAATTAACCTGCCTTCTCATGCAATGAGAATAGCCATTTTTTCAATGTAATCAAGCTCCATAATTAATGCATGTTAGTCAGCAGACATTCTTAAATTCAAGTTGGGACAATAATCTAACTTTTGAAAAATCAGTCCACAAGGCACTGGGAAAAAGACAAAGTGGAAAGTGATAATGGTATGGAATTCTTTGGGCGATTCATGTTCTATCTGGGTCATTCCATGTCAAATCACCCAGTAGGTTTAACCCAACAATTTTTTATTTTAATTAAATCCCCACTGTACTACTCGTAGCTACTTGCTCCCTCCATATCGTGCCTAATCGGTGACCTTTGGTCCCTCATGATCCTCTTTTTCTGGTATGTTAATTGAGACCTGAGTTGATGAGATAGCCACCTGTCAGTGATCACCCTGGGTGGTTTATCCCTCCTGGCTAAACTAGTATAGACAGGATTTAAACTAAGTGTACTTGTTGAGCGTGATCTCACAGTACCAAATCTCAATTTTTTGGTCAATGGGGTGAGGGGTTTGGGAGAACCGGCCCACCAAATTTTGAGATTTTCTGCAAAAATGGGCTTTGCCACCTACCTTTTTATCTCAGGAACTAATGGGTCAATCTTTACAAAATTGGTATTGTTGGAAAGGAAATTCAATAAGGATTCTAAATCTGCCATCATTTTGAAGAGTGGTACATGTTGGGGTACCTAGACCTTTTGACCTAAGATTTGACCTTGAAATTGACCTTGACAACATTTTTCATGAAATATCATCTCTGACATGTTCACTAAAACATATTAAAGTTTCGTACTCATACCCAGTTATAACTGCAAAAGCAGCGGGTTTGCTGAAGATGTACATTGTACACGCTGTATGTACAATTTAATACTGTTTATTATGAATATCTGTGAGTCCTTATTGCTCCTAAACAAAACATATTATAACTCTGAAATTTTTTAATATGTTTTAGACTAAAACATATTTACACATTTCAGAGTTTAGTGACCATGGAATGACCCATCTGCAAGTTAAAGGTCTACATGTATAACTTTTTCTGAAAACTATTAAGAAATTATTTTTTCCTCACACTTTAGCAAAATTAATAAACATATTAGTAGTACTTGCACAACCTTGTCAAATTTTGTAATTGTTTCTTCAACTCCCAAACTGCATGTAAAATGGGTTGTTTTATCAAGCATCTTTTCATTCTTATAATATAGTTTACTTACTCTGCATGACTTCAAGAAGCAGCTTCAATGCCCCACTTTCAACGATAAGCTTAGCATGGTCATGGGCTTTCCCAAAAGGTACCCTGACGTCATCATCAACAACCAGGGCACGGAATGTGGCGTCTACTTCTCGTATGACCTTCACATCATTCTTTGTGTTTCCTAAGATATTGATCAGTGTCTTGATAAGGCCCCTTTTCACATATGCCTGCCTGTTTGTCTCATGTTTGATGCAACTAAATCTAATTGCTTTGATGGTGAGGGCAAAATTCAGAGGATGACTATCCCCTTCATTACTTGTTGAAGTCTTCACAGTTTCAAGTAAGAAGTCCATACCATCTGCCGTCATAAGATCAGGTTGTCCATTTAACAATGAGCACAGGCTCTCAAAAGCTTTGCATTGGAACTTGTCATCTGTCTTTGCTAATCGACTTTGAGCCAGAAGCAGCAAGGTAGGGAATGCTTCATTACTGGCAGCTTGCATTCGGTGTGCTAAATCTTTATCACACTCTGTCTTGAAGACTTCAAGGTGTGATATGATAGCCTCTTGTACCTCCATCCCCTCAGCCCCAGATGTTATGTTCTTAATTCCCTCTGTCAATCCATCCAGGGCAACATTCACAGGATGCTTAGCTGGTTCGCCAGATTCTTCTCCTATTATAGAAAAGACAATAACTCAACAATAGGAATTGCAAAAGCGAAGGAAGATGCCTAAGAATCAGATAAGAAATTCAATTATTAATCTAAATGTATACATTATCAATTATTCACTCCCTTTACCTTGAGACAGAAAAATTATTCAGTAAATCTACTAAAAAGTTGATTTGACATAACATGTGTTTCACATGTGACAATGCCTTTGGCTTGCTACCCTGCCTACCTTCTTCAAATTTGACAATGGTGTTTCCTTTTTGCAGGCTTTCACATGCTACTGTGGCTACCTTTAAGAGAAAACTGAGAGCCCTTCCCATAGGAAAAGAGGGCTAATCAACCAAGTATACCAAGTATACCAAGTAAGTACATTTGTGTCTTCTCAGACCTACCCCTGCACCTGCTGTGGCAAGACGTCTATCATCAGTCAGGAATGCCTTCTTCTTTCTTTCTTTCTTTGTGAAAAAAGCCAAGTACAAATCACATACATGTATACAATGTATGATAGTAATTGTAATTGCTTTTTTAAATTTCATTCACAGCCACAACACTGAATCCATCATGATTATTTATGATCATCAATCATAATCAAATGTAAAATTAATCGATGACATAATATGTACCGTGATGATTAAATCTGATGATTAAATCTTATAATCGAATTGGATAGAGATGTATTACATAATCTAAATTAATGTTAAAAATATCAAGGTCAGTGTCATAAACTAAGTTTTTATAATAACTACCAGCTATCAGAGAATTGTTCAAAAACTTCTTTTTAGAAACAGACTTTTCATCAAATTTCTCCATGATATCATACTAATTTGGTCTGAAAATTATATAGCTTATTCACAGTAGCATGCTTTTTTTCAGAGCGGAAAATTTGCTGGTAAAGAATTACTTTTGAAGTTCCTTCCATGACTTTGAAAAACAGAAAAGGTTTTTTTTTTTAATGAAATTACATTGACACTGATTCAAGCAAACTTTGACCTACCGATATGCACCTCTTTGATGATGTTGGCAAGGTTGATGCCCTGAGATTCAAACTGCTGAATAGAATCTGCTAAAGCCTCTTCTGCACTCATCTCAAATTCATCCATATTCTCCTTCACAACAGCATCAAATGTATCCTGGGTTATACGTTTGGAAGCCATGACTAAACGTGACTATCTGTGTGGAGATTGAAGCAAACAAAATATTAAATTGCATTATATCAGCAAGCTTGTACATGATATAGGCAAACAATAAAGTATCAAGTGACCGAAGATAAGCTTTACTTTAGACTTGTTTCCTAGTCAAAAGTGATGTAGTATCACTTCAAATAACAAATCCAAACAATAAACATGTCGCACCTCAGGGTTATAGCAGGATGTAACGTCCCCTTGAGCTAGTATAGAAACAGCAATGCCTCTCATGGCAGTCAATATATCTATATTAATACTGAACCGAAAAGAATGAGGAGCCGACCCTACCCAAATCAGAGGCTAACGAACGAAAGAGACAGAAATTTTCGGTCTATGACTCTCTATGCTTTGCTGGAGTGGAGAGGAGGTGGCCGGTGGCACTCCAGCAAAGCATCTGGCTCCTCTGACTGCCTCTATACATAGACTGAAGTACGTCCTATGGGGACTGAGTGGAACAAATGGGTCGGTTCGGCCAGACTGCGTTGAATGAGATATGCAACAAGTTTGTCACTCTTTACCGTCCTTGTTTTCACGAAGTGACGGTAGTGAGGAAAATCGTAACGCAAAGTGAATGCAATTTTTTTTCACTACCGTCACTTCGTGAAAACAGCGACGTTACGTCTAAAATTTGGCTGTAATATTACACTAATTGTTATTTAAGATAAAAATTAACACAGAAACATCTACTTTGACTTACAATAGCTTGCTCATTTAGATCCTAAATTAATGATTTATCCGAGAAAGTCTCGTAGTCGACATGATTCGTTGTCATCCATCTTGGTTTTAGTTGATGAGTATTCATTTTTTCTTTTCGAACGTCCAATAGCTAATGTACGTACGAGTCAGCCCGGCTTGACCCAGTGATATATGAATATTCATAAACCCAATATTAAACGAGTGCTCTGATTGGCCATTCGCTATGTTTTGGTAGGTTGATCCGGAAATATATCGGCCGGGTCATGTCATAGATTATCAGTTTGAAAGGATGAACGTACCGTTTCACGGTTCTGAGATAAAAATTGGATAACTCATAAAGTCTAGGTCTAGATCTACATGTAGATCTAAGTAAGTCCGTAAATTTCGCATTTTGAAATAAGAAATAAAAAGTTGCATAGAGGTCTATATGTAAATAGGATAAAAATAGACTAGACCTAGGTCTATACGTCTAGTTTTTTTTGGCCAATCTATCCCCCCGGTGCAAGTCGTCTGGATTACCGTCTGTTTATGGGGAATGTCAACAAATGTCAGTTTTATTAAAGAATTGACCCATATCAGACGGTTATTTATTGACCTTTAGCACTGCACTACGTGTTATTAGGCAGAATTGCACGCACGAATAGTCCATACACACATAACACACAAATGCACGCAATAAGACGATGTGGCTGATCGGCAAGTTTGACAGTAGACTCATAATTTAAATTTTTTAATTATTCTTTCTAACATCGGCAAGTTGGAAAAATTGTATTTTACTGCTAGACTATTTTATATTTTGATCTAATCTAGGCCTAGTGTCATCAATTGTCACTAAACTACAGATTTTGGTTATCCTATACTTTAGGGTGTTTTATTATTTTGGGTTTCTAACTTCAGTCAACAGCTCTAGTCTACATGCATATATCTATTAGATCAATGTTGTGTCGTACGGCCGTGCTCCTGGGCACGCACGCGCGGGTTTAAAGTGACATTGGCTTTTGAATCTACTTGGAGTGTGATTAGAAGAGGAAGGGCACAGGGATAATAAAACCCCTTAAAACGAAGTAGGTAATATCAGAGACGCCAAGTTCAAAGATCGGCTATGCGTGACATTTTAATTTTTCGGCGCACAAGCACGCGTGCGAGGGTATAACACACGTATAAGGTATAGCCTTTTTTCTAAATCTAGCGCGCGCGCCGTGCGTGAGAGCATTTCCCGACCCTCCAAATGCGTGATGTCACGCCTAATGCGTGACACTTGGTAGCTCTGTAATATGCACTTCTTTATATCCAATTAACGCCCCTTCCCCCCCCCCCCCCCAGCGCCCCCACCACTAGCCCCTAATAATCCAGGCTACATGAATATGCTGTCCCTGTACTCATCACCGTCAGACAATCCTGTTCACTGTTCATATTTAATAAAACCCCTTAAAACTAAGTAGGTAATAAAACTATAACGCATACATTCACTCTATACATCCCCTTTTGAAAGCAGGCCATTGAACAATCAAGTAGGTCTGTAGATTATATAACCAGTGTGCCACTTTTAACCTGCGAGTGAGCGCCCAGGAGCACGGCCGTACAACACAACATAATAGATATATGCAATTATGCATGTATGATGTAGAGCTGTTGACTGAAGTTAGGAACCAAAAATAATTAAACACCCTAAAGTATAGGATAACCCAGATGGTGAGTGAAATCAGTTGAGTTTTGTACAGTCTTGTTTGAAATGTTGATATGCAACAAGATTTTCACTCTTTACATCCTCATAACTGCTGCAATTATAATAAAAATTAAAAATAACATATATATAGCTTAGGCCATGTAAAATTGATTTCATGTTGATCGTCCCCGCCCGCTTCCTTTTTTCCGCCCGCCTCCTTATATTTGATATTTGATTTTTTTTTTTTTTTTTTTTTTTTTAAATAATCGAGTACAACTTGTTTTAATTCTTTGTCAAAAATAAATATAGAGTTGAAATTTGATCTATATATATATGTGTTCTCAGTGTTTTTCTCTTCAGGAAAGAGAGAGCATTGGATTTTGCCCTTAACATTTGATACAGTCAACAAATCTTGGTAGTGGTTTCTGGCATATACTCCCATTCTGGCACTCCTTTGGTAGGGTATATGCAGCATAGCTGGATTTCGATTTATACATGCATGGGTCATCACCCTTGGTACTTTCAATGTTGGAGTGAGGATTTAATACTTGGCATTCAATATCATGACGTGATGGTAGTATGCAAGTCACTTAGTTGGCGTCCTCTGCTTGAGGCAGCTTCCTGTAGTGCAGACTTGGATAGACCAAAGCTAGCCTGTACCAAAGGTACGCCTTCAAGGCTTCCAATGAAAATGTTAAATATCATGTCATTCATGTAGATCTACATAAATGTTAAAACAACAATTACAAAATCAAAACAAAAATGACAATATATTTACAAATTACATATTTAAAATAAAGGCAACATTTAATATTTAAAAAAAAGAAACCTGTTGAAGAAAGCCAAAATTGATATTTTAGGGCAAATCAAACTCACTACAGCAACGTTGGTTGATGTACATATTCAATTATATACTATTTGTACACGCGGCAGCCATCTTGGGAAAAATATCAAATATCAAATAACATGGTACACCCTCTTCCTCTTTTTCAAAAAATCCGGACGATCAACATGTAATCAATTTTACATGGCCTTATTTGACTTACGATAGCTTGCTCATTTAGATCCTAAATTAATGATTAATCCGAGAAAGTCTCGTCAACATTATCCGTCTTGGTTTTAGTTAATGAATATTCATTTTTTCTTTTCGAACGTCCAATAGCTACCGTAGCTATGTACGAGTCAGCCCGGCTTGACCAACGAACTCCCACGAAACGAGTGCTCTGATTGGCCATTCGGCTATGTTTTGGTAGGTTGACCCGGAAATATTTTGGCTGCCGGGTCATATAGCCCTATGTTCGAGTGCATGCACGTACTGTTTCACAATCTGAGATACAAATTGGATAATTCATATAAGTAAGTCCCTAAATTATTTATTAAGTTATCAAATTTTGATAACTGCAATTAGGACAAATGACATAGGTCTACCGACCTAGATTCTAATTTAGACCTACATCTGATTTAGAAATCAGAAAATTAGATCTAAATATAGACTATAAAGAAAATCGGGGAGAAAAATGTTTTGAACGTAAAGATGTACATTGTTGGCTCTAGCTACCCCCACGGTACGAGATCTCTGGGTTACCATCTGTATTGGGGAATGTCAACAAATGTCAGTTTTATTAAAGAAATGACCCAAATCAGATGGTAATTTCTGTCATTGCTAATGCGTATTGACCTCTAGCACTGAATTACGTGTTAATAGGCAGCATTTTAATACATAAATAGACAATACACTTATAACACACAGATGCACACAATTATGCCGATGCGGCTGATCGGCAAGTTTGACAGTGGACTCACAATTTGAATTTTTAAGTTATTTTTCTAACATCGGAAAGTTGAAAAAATTGTATTTTAGTCTAGGCCTAGGCCTACTGCTATTTAGGTGTCATCAATCGTCACTAAGTCTAAAGTACCGATTTTTAGTGAAATCAGTTGGAGTTTTGTACAGTGGTGTTTGAATAGTTTAGAATCAATAGCACAGCTTTTAATACACAGCCAGGGTAGTAATGCACCTATGTCTGGAGCAACGGTGGTCGGTAGAGCTCCACCAAAACGGCGGAGGTAAAATGAGTTAAGGTCTACGGTAATTACAGGTACCGGTACGGTACGGTACCTTAACTAAAACAACGTCGAGATCGACCATCCTTTTTTACAGGAACTTAACAAGGAAAAATCGTTAAAACGTACCGTCCTTTTCCCCAACTTTGCGACCTACACTAGTTTTAGTAAGAGATTGACACAGCAGGCTGAGCAGCTCACAGATAAATAACACCGTAGGCGTAGGCCTAGCTATATTCGTCATGCCGCACATATTCTGTATAGCGTATAGCGTTCCGTATTCTTTAGCTTGACGACCGTACGTTTACAATACCGTACCATCGAAATCCAAGTAAGTAGAAGGATTTTCCGAGACCGCTGAATTGCACCGCCGTGCGCCATCTTGGATAGAACGAGCGTCGTGAAAGCGAACTGCGACTACGTGCTATGTGTATGCTCAACTTTCGTCTGCAAAATGCCATATTGTGCAGCTTTCAACTGCACCAATCGCCTTAAAAGAGGCTCTGGAATAACCTTTCATAGTTAAGTGATCACTTCATTAAAAACATGGCAAAAATAAACAGTTTTGCATGATAATCCGAACGCAGAAAGCCACAGACTAAAGCGTGTATTTGTACATCGGTCCCATCTATTCATTTCCATGTTTGTGAACTGTTTTCGCTCGAGTTCAATGACATCGGCTATGAACTATCGAAAATATTGAATTCCACAGAGCTGCAAAGTATTATAAACCGATAATATCGAATACATGATATCCAGAGAATACTGTACTGTTTTTTTTTTTTTTTTTGGGGGGGGGGGGGGGGGGGGGGGGGGAATCATTGGGGCATAAGCAGGTCACTATTTTTGTTTGACTTGGTGAAACTTGGTTCAAGTTACTTTGAAGATTAACTTGAACTTATGAACATGTTGCATCGCGGCGCTGGTATTAATAGTGACACAATTTCCCGTGAGTCGTCAGACTTTCAAGCATTATTGTAAGAAATTTACTGGAATTTACTCAAAATTTACACCTTAATTTTGGACATTTAAATTGTTGTAAAACACAAGAAATTTTACTCATTAAAGTTGGTCATTGTGAAAGTTACGGCCTGTCAGTCATGGCAGTTAAAGAAGCTACCTGCATGAACCTTCCTACGTCCTCTAAAACTTACTCCTCAGATGAATATGTGTAGATTATGTAGTGATTTCATATGGCCTAGTAAAGCACAGCACTTGAAATACAAATCAAGACAAAAAACCACCAGGCAATATTTTGCGAAGCTCCCATTACTCTGGTACATGTATATCTTTAAAGACATATACATTTTGAAATATTTGGGGATTTCTGCTGTAAAAGGGTAAAAAATTGGTCAATCTTATTTATGTGTATTTTTTTACATAATATTTCACCATTGATGAAATAAATATACTAATTCAAACAGACTATTTCATCTTCTCCTTCCCACTGAAATGACAGAATGTGCACTACAGGGATAGTATACGATATTTATTACGATGTTTGCCCTATTGGTCTATTTTGTGTTTTATACATCTAGGCTTACCCAGAGAGAAAGGAATTGTGTGATTCTATTATTGACACTAGCCTGTCTTCTGTCTGACAGGTTTAGGTATAGTTTGAATCTGATTGCATAAATTAGATTTGAGATTAGAATTTGCGAAAGAGGCATCAAAGAAATATTTAAAAAAAAAACTGTATTATTGTCAACGTGTTTCAGGGAAAGGGATTTTCTTTAAATTTTGTATTTTTAACTTGACTCTGATCACTTATGGTTCCCAAAGCTATTTATAAATTATTGTGCGTATGTATCTTGATAATGGATAATGTATTCGGTGATGGCATAGTGCCACATACAATGTGTGTACAAACAAATTGTTTCGTCAAATTAGATAAGGAAGTCACTCATTATGTTGTATGAAAATCTGTATACAGAGGTTTACGGTGTATGCAAACGATCCCTGTTTTGTTATAAAATATTGTCCAATGATTTTATTGTTCAATGTGCAGTGTCATCTATTCTACACTATTGAATTCAAACTGTAGTTGCAATGGTTGTATCCATGTTTACCAACTGAAAGAGCTTGAGCTAAATGAAAGTTGCAACTTTCATCTAGAGTAAGAATCTGTTTTAAAAGTTTTCACTGAAATCAGATGAATCCATACATTGCTTCATGAACAAACCAAAGAGAGGGAAATACTGATTCATATGTATTATATCTTGTTGATGTCTAGTTTTTTAATGAAGTATGTTCAAGTTTTGAGTGCTAAAAGCGAGAAAATCTTGCCTTTTGTATATTGTAGTCAGTCAAATGCAAATGTACATGTGATTATTTCTCTGTGTGTTAAAATGAATAAGAAATGTGCCGGTATAAACATAATGTGCCATGATTGCTTGCTTGAGGAACGTTTTTTCCACACCATTGGAGGATTTTTTTTCTTCATATCCACCATTGCAATAGTTCATGGATGTTTTGATATGTACTGTATACATTCATGTAATACATAGCGCAATGCCAAGGTTAAAAAAACAACTTAATAAAGATGAAAGTATTCACAATTATGTGGAAAGACATGACAGTTGCCACAATGTGTCATTACTTAACACTTCTTAGATAAATCTTTAATATGCCTATATGGGATGAAAATAATATCTGGCAGCAAAATGGTAGCCTCCCAAGGGAAAGAAAAGAAATAATATTAATATTCAGTGGGCCTACTTCTGCAGTGCCAAGAATCAAAGGGATAGAGAAAGAGAGAGGGGAGAGAGACAAAAAGAGAGAGGGGGAGAGTGAAAGAAAAAGGGGGAGAGAAAAAGAGAAGGGGATAGAGAGAAAGAGAGAAAGAAAGGGAAAGTGAAAGAAAAAGAGAGGGAGAGAGAGAAGGGGATAGAGAGAAAGAGAGAGGGAGTAGAGAAAGGGGTAGAGAGAAAGAAGGGGAGAGGGGGAGTGTGAAAGAAAAAGAGAGGGAGGGAGAGAAGGGGATAGAGAGAGGGGGAGTGGGAAGAGAAACACAAAGACTGAGAATTTACGAGTGTGTGTAAAGAGAAAGTGGGAGTGATTTATATAGATAGAGCCTAAATAATTTGATATATTCTTTCTATCACAGAAAGAGACAAAACTAGCCTAATACCACAAATGATATTTAACAAAATAGTCTAGCTCTTTTAGTCTTTATGCAAAAAAACCCCTAAAATTTCAACTCCCCTACTGTCCAAGCTGCCGCTCTTATTCCAATATTCAAGTCATCAAACATCATTCTGTATGGGACTTGGAAAAGGGCATAAACAATATATGTAAAGATATTTTTCACCAAAACTAACAATAAAACCCTGGTTTCTGGACGTCCCTTCCTCCAATTGCAATAGGAGCTTGTACACAATACTGTAACAAATCAGTGTTTTAGTATTGGACGAAGGTTAAGCATTTTCTGTTGTACGAGCATGCGCTATAGCAATATGGTGCATCGTTGATTTAGCAATTACCAAACTGAAGGAAAATGAGCATAAATTACATATTTTAATCATGTTGGTGCAATTATCATGTTTCTTTTGGGGATATTACTTGTATAGTAGTGATCTAATCAGGAATAAGGGGTTATACTGAAGATTATATGTGAAGATTTTATGGGATTAGCAGAAATATTGTGTTGAAGTGTTGTTTTACTAACGAGGACATAATTGTTCTTTTACACGTTTATGTATAGGGAAATTGTTACAATGGTCAGGGTTGTGCATCTAGGGCTTTCCACTGCACTGTATCCGATACAGGCCAGCCTCACCGAGGCTGGCCTGATAGTTGGCCTGATAGTTGGCCTGATTGTTGGCCTGATAGTTGGCCTGATAGTTGGCCTGGCCTAAGCCTCTAAGCTAAGTCTCACATAGTTTGCACTATACTTGTGTTGAGTTTACCCGATTGTTGAATGGATCGCAATAAAGACTTTCAACCTACACATCATGATTGGTTTGATTTCTTGGAGCAGTGAAACCAAGGGACGAGAACCTGTGACAAGTGTTGACAAGGGAAATTGATTGTTCGAAGGATGCTCAATTGATTGATGCTGTGAACGAGACGTTTAGGTGACCGATTGTAGTCGATGGACGAATGATTGTTGAGATACGTGTGAGCAGTTAATAACTCCAGCCATTAAGCTACGGGCATATATTTTGTCCAAACGGACGGAGAGCGCCTGGCCAGATACGGGGCATCCTGACAAATATTCCGTGTCAAGCCAAGGTGGCGAAAACGTGTCCGCCACACATGGTGTCAGAAGTGGGATTGCTGATGGCGTGGAGTGGTCGAGCTGACGGAGCTGGGGGACGACGACAGTAGCACTGACGGAGCTGGGGGACGACAGGCAGTAAGTCTGACGACGTTACAAGCTGGTAGAGCTGACGAAGCTGGGGGACGACAGGCAGTAGGTCGATCTGACGGCGTCACAAGCTGGTAGAGCTGACAGAGCTGGGGGACGACAGGCAGTAAGACTGACGGCGTCACAGCTGGTTGAGCTGGGGAACGACGGGCAGTAGGTCTGACGGCGTCACAAGCTGGTAGAGCTGACGGAGCTGGGGGACGACGAAGGGCAGTAGGTCGGACGGCGTCACAGCTGTGGTCGAGCTGAAGGAGCTTGGGGACGACGGGCAGTAAGACTGACGGCGTCACAGCTGGTCGAGCTGAAGGAGCTTGGGGACGACGGGCAGTAAGACTGACTGCGTTACAGCTGGTCGAGCTGACGGAGCTTGGAACGACGGGAGGTAGCATTGACGGTGTTGCAGCTGGTCGAGCTGACGGAAATGCGGAACGACAATGGAGTCGTATAATGACCCAAACATGCTGCCAGACTGGTTTGACGGGGAAATTCCCATACTGGACTACTTGGAGCATTTCGAAGCATGCGCAATCATCAATAATTGGACGGAAAGAAAGGCAACGCATTATCTAGCAGCCAGTCTACGTGGGCCAGCGTTGAGGCTACTGGGGAAGAATGGTGAGGTAGAACTGACGTACAGTGCATTGACCAGCAGGCTCATACATCACTTCGGACCTTCAGGAAAAGCTGATGTATTCTTGGCCGAACTACGTTCCCGACGAAGGAAGCCGAAGGAGACCCTTCAGGAATTGGGCCAAAGTATCAGATACATGGCAGCAATGGCTTACCAGGAGTTTGGTGCCGATGGGCAGGATAAGCTGGCTCGGGGTCACTTCCTTGACGCAATAATAAATCCGGCCATCCGAGAAGGTTTGTTTCGGGCTCAGCCACATACCCTAGATGAGGCTATTGGAGCAGCTCTGAACACGGAGGCTCTTCTTCAGATGGAAGCAGAGAGGGGAGAGTTGTGGTACTCTCACCGTCACAGCCACAGCCGGGTACTGACAGGTAGCGATCGACCTCAGCACCCTGATAGCCCTTATACACCCGAAATGGTGAAGAAAATGGAGAAGGCGCTAACTGATCTTACAGCCAGATTGGAAGCACTGACCCGCCAAGTAGGAAGTACGTCGCAGTATGGCAATACAGGGCCACACTCCCGGGGAAGACGTCAGGACGGGCCTTGTGATGATTGTGGCCAACAAGGACATTTTTCTTGGAATTGCCCTCATCCAAAGATGCTGTACGCACCTGACCGTCCAGAAATGAAGGAAGCAGAGACCAGACGTTGTCACCAGTGCAATGAAACTGAGCATTTCTTTCGGAACTGTCCTCATAATCCAGCTGGAGGCGATGAGGTGGCGACTAAGCACCCTGGACAAGACGTTGGTGGTTCAGTTACCGTTCTACCAGACGAGGAGACGGCTGGGGATCCACCAGATACCCTTCTACAAGTGGACGAGGCAACCAAAGACCCGTCAGAGGCTGTCCCAATAGATGAAGAAGTAGCTGGAGACCCACCGGACAACAGCCTAGCAGCTGACGACACAGATACAGGGTTGTCAAACAATGTCCAGTCAGACAAAGAGCCTGTTGATCCACCAGGTACTGGCCTAGCAGTTGGCGAGGTGATCAACGAGGTGTCAGTCGGCGGTCCTGTGAGGCATGAGGTGGCCCAAGACCCTTAATGATTTGAATTTTTGAACAGTTGAACATTTTTGGAAAGAGCCATTTTGAACTGTCAGAAAAGACTTGGATTTTAGTTTTGAATTGTTTTGATAACATGTTATGATTTGTTGTTTTTGCATAAGTTAGAGATAAGTTAGCTTGGGGACCAAGCTTGGGAGGGAAGGGAATCGTGTAACAAATCAGTGTTTTAGTATTGGACGAAGGTTAAGCATTTTCTGTTGTACGAGCATGCGCTATAGCAATATGGTGCATCGTTGATTTAGCAATTACCAAACTGAAGGAAAATGAGCATAAATTACATATTTTAATCATGTTGGTGCAATTATCATGTTTCTTTTGGGGATATTACTTGTATAGTAGTGATCTAATCAGGAATAAGGGGTTATACTGAAGATTATATGTGAAGATTTTATGGGATTAGCAGAAATATTGTGTTGAAGTGTTGTTTTACTAACGAGGACATAATTGTTCTTTTACACGTTTATGTATAGGGAAATTGTTACAATGGTCAGGGTTGTGCATCTAGGGCTTTCCACTGCACTGTATCCGATACAGGCCAGCCTCACCGAGGCTGGCCTGATAGTTGGCCTGATAGTTGGCCTGATTGTTGGCCTGATAGTTGGCCTGATAGTTGGCCTGGCCTAAGCCTCTAAGCTAAGTCTCACATAGTTTGCACTATACTTGTGTTGAGTTTACCCGATTGTTGAATGGATCGCAATAAAGACTTTCAACCTACACATCATGATTGGTTTGATTTCTTGGAGCAGTGAAACCAAGGGACGAGAACCTGTGACAAGTGTTGACAAGGGAAATTGATTGTTCGAAGGATGCTCAATTGATTGATGCTGTGAACGAGACGTTTAGGTGACCGATTGTAGTCGATGGACGAATGATTGTTGAGATACGTGTGAGCAGTTAATAACTCCAGCCATTAAGCTACGGGCATATATTTTGTCCAAACGGACGGAGAGCGCCTGGCCAGATACGGGGCATCCTGACAAATATTCCGTGTCAAGCCAAGGTGGCGAAAACGTGTCCGCCACAATACGTATGCGCAGGCGATTTCTTGTACTACGCAAAATGGCGGCGGGCGCACTCGAGCGGTGCCATTGCGCTGCCTGAAACGTGAACGGACACAATCCTTCTACTTGGTTTGAGTTCGTTGTACCGTACTCATACGCTATGCATATGGGGCGCCATGTGTGCTTCCGTCACAAATCACTAGATCAAATGTTGCGGATCCAAGGGGGAGGTGGGGCAGGCACCCATCCCTGGCAACAACAACAAAGTTATGTCCCTCGAAGCAGTTTTTCCAAAGTTGACAGGCCCTGTTTGGGTATATGTTGAGTTGAAATAGCGGTCTGCGCTATCAAATTTCCGCCCTAACCCCCACCCCCCCACCTACTTAGAAAATCCTGGATCCGCACCTGCATACCCCCTGGACAATCAACCCCGGGTATATTACCAGGGGACAATTATACAGTGGCGGATTCAAGGAGGGAAGGGGGAACAAAAAGGGAGAAAAGGAGAAAAGGAGAAAAACGAGGGGGAAAGAAAAAGGAGGGGAGGGGGAAAAGAAAGAAAAGGGAAGAGATGAGAAAGAAGAAGAAAAGAGGAGAGGATAAAAAAGGAAGGGGAAAGGAAGACGGGGGAAGAGAGTGGATAGAAAAGGCGGGAAAGGGAGAAAGGGGAAACGGCTAGACGGAGGAGAGAAAAGGGGGAAAAGAAAGAAAGGGGGCCGGACCGGATCTCATAAGATTAAGGTTTCTTTTTTTAACTGGGTAAGGGGCAGGGGGGACGCAATTTTGCAGTGTGCATAATTTGGGGTCCTTAATCTTGCCAGGCGTGTAGCAAAGGAGAAAGAAGACGATTGTTTTACTGTTCTCGACTCTTAATCCCTGTCTGTTCCCCCTCCCGCGCCAAGCGTGGAAGCTTTGACGTTTCATCAAATTATTAAAGAAGACGTACTGTTTTCGTTTCTTAATCCTTGCCTGAATTCAGTTTCCCCTCTCTCGCGCCAAGCGCGGAAGCTTTGCCATTTCATAGATTATTAGAGAAAGAAAACGATTTGTTGTACTGTTTTTCATTTCTTATCCTTGCCTGAAATCAGTTTCCCCGCTCTCGCGCGAAGTGCGGAAGCCTTGAATTCATTTACCGCCAATATCCTGACAGGTGGGGGGGGGGGGAGGGTGTCGCACCCCACACCCCTTTAGCGACGCCCTTGGTTGTTATCCCAATATTCAGAAATGCAATTCATGCTCTCTCACCTCACTTCTATCGTTGTTTATAATTCTCTTTCATTTTTTTTTCCTTTCTCCTTCATATAACTCGCAAAAATTCTCTTTCCCCCCTAACCTTGGGGGGGGGGGGGGTGCTATGGACAAATGGTCGCGTTCAAGTCAACACGACGCGACGCTACCCTACCCACCCTTTCGGCATATTGAGCCATCACTTTTGTATTCTGTTGCAAATATAGTAATTTTGTATAGACACGCCCACTTTGGTAAATCCTATTTGAAGTTGACCAATAAATTGGTGCGTATAGATCAAGAAGTGGTAAATAGGTTTGAAGATAAAATCCTCTATGTGGGCATGCCTTGAAGCAAAATGCATGGCCCGGGGAAAAATGCAATGAATTATTGATAATTCCTTGCATTTCTTTGTTTTTTTTTGTATTTGTGGGGGCGGCGATGTACCCTAGCCACTGCTCCGTACAGTCATGATTCAGTGGCTAAGCAATGGCCTAGTTCCTGTGAGGCCCCAGAATAAAAGCTGTGTGGATCAGCTATATTAGTGCCCTTTTGTAAGGCATTAATCTTCATTACTGTGAGTTATGATTGATGGACGTAGGTCCCCTAGTTAATTAGCGTAGAAGCACACACATGCTTTAGCAGTCACACAAAACAAACACTCGCAAATTATCATGCAATAAAAACTGAGAATGTATACTTTTATTTAGATCTATTCTGAATAAATCATTGTCAAAATCATTCCATAAATTTGGGTAAAAATAATTATTCCCCCTTTATGACCAACAGTGTACTACGAATCCTTTTAAATATCCTTTTTTTAAATATGAAGGAATTGTTCTTCATTATAATTTCACATTATTTTAATTCAGTTTATCAAGCTTATCTTGATTTCAGTTATTACAAAACAAAATGCATATTGCATGTAATTATAGAAAAAATAAATCTATTACTTACACATGTAAGAGAAATTTCACTGCAGTTAAAACAAATACACCGAGAAAGGGTCTTTTAGTGAACCCAAATGCAAAACTTGGGTTGAAGATGATGAGTATATCATTTCATTTTTTTTATAGCACAAATTGTATTTTGCCTCTATTCATTTACTTGCTTTGAGGCAAATCCTAGCAGTTGAGCTTGCAAGTAACAAAACAAAATTTTGTTAAAACATGAATGCTTACATTTCATTACCAATACCTATCTTCCATTAAAGCCTAAAATGGAAAATAAATCCCCCTAATTCCTTTTAAAATGTCATTTTATTTAAGATACATAGATTCAAGAAACATAGACTCAAGATACATAGATACATAGGTACACAGACTCAAGAAATTCCTGAGATAGTGTTTTACATATCAACAAACAGAGTCATGATAAAATTTACATTGCCGATTTACAATATCCTTTTGGACAATACATAGAACAATCAAACTTTCTCAGATAAAATGGCAAAGGCATACAGCAACCTTGAGTATTTGTATATATACCCTATGATATAAGGTTGAACAAAATACACAATAGAGAAGACCTGGGCCCGTCTCATAAATAGTTGTGATTCATTGGAAATTCTTTGCAATTGATATCAAATGGAACTATGTTCATAAGAGAAAGGAGACTGCAAACTTGTGATTGCTTCGGAATCTCAACTCTACATAAGACGGGGCAATGGGGTGGTATTCTGAAAACATTGTCATCTTTTATGTTAGTAAAAATATTGTTAATAGTCATAACATATCCAAAATCAAATTACGGTAGGACAAGTCATTGGATAAAGTCTGCGCAAAGCATGCTGCATTTGCATGAAGTATAATTGTTGGTTGCTCTCAGTTTGTTCTGACAATTAACATTTTTTTGCTGAACATTGTTTTCTGAATATACGCCCGTCTCTTGTTTAATATCGCCAACTAAATACTTCATGAAATATATGACAAATGCTAATTTCAAAGCATTTTTGATTTTCTCACACATGGATATCATACTGTGTGGATTGGGGATGAGGAAAATGATGTGCATATCATTCTACTTATATTTTCCAGTCATATGTACTTTTATCACAATCTCAGAAAAAAACATTCCCAGTTCTGATATACTGCAGTAAATGTGATTCACAAATAACAATTTTTTTGTAAAATCGATGTGTTATCAATGCAACACTATATGTTTTCTAGAGAAATAGATATTGTAAGAGACTGAACAAAATTTAAGGCACAACATTTTGAAAATCAAGATTAGTTGAATGAGTTGGAATATAACAATAAGAGAACAAAATGTATGTTTCAATGCATTTTGAAAGAAGTCGTAATTGAGTTTGGGCCCCTCAAATCCAATGAAATCACTTTTCTAAAAACACATCATGCATCAAATCTGAATATATCTGAAAATATATCCATTACTAACATTTGGAAGAATGTTCTCAGAATTTTCCTTTTAATTGTTCAAGATTTGTTAAGTGGCCCTATATTCTATCAATGCATATAACTTTCACAATCTATAATAAAACAAGACAAATGCGACTGCGTCTCCTATATACCTCCGCCCTAAATTCAGAATAGGAAATGGATGGAATTATTCATGACATACAGGTGTATATCACAATGAAAACAATTAGCCTAGCCCTATAATCAATTGTCAACTATGATCTTGACCTACAAGCCCCAAAAGGTAATACTGTCACCATATTGCAATAGCAAGGCTCAAAACCTTCAATTTCAGAAATTGACCTCTGCAGGGGTGGTAGTGAGCACTGAAAAAAAAAAGATTCCCCCCCCCCCTAAAAACCAACCAATTTTAAATCGGGTAATTATCAGGTCTGCCTCTGTGATCATTGACCTACTTACTACAAAAATCTAATCAGATTGTCTTCCTATGATGATACATACTATCACCAAGTTTGAACCCCATATTTCTAGTGGTTCTTGAGATATTGCAAGAGCGAGGCTAAACCTGTAATTTCAGAGATTGACCTGTTACCTTTGACCTCTGTTTATACCTTTGACCTAATTACCCAAAATCTGATTAGATCATTTTCCTATGGTGATACATACTATCACCAAGTTTGAGCCTTATAATATCTCTAGTGGTTCTTCGCAGATATCGCAGTAACAAGGCTAATATATAAAATTCCTGTGACCTTTGACCTATTAACCCAAAATCTGATCAGATTGTCCTCCTATTATAATACACATTATCACCATGTTTGAAAATACACCACCACCTTTGGTGGACGGAGGCTAAACAGTGTTTGGACAGAGGCTAAACAGTGTTTTGACAGGAGCTTGATTTGATAGCCCACTGATACATGCATGTACATCCTAAGAATTATCTTTGTTACCCCATTTGGATAGGCGTAGCTTTTCTTCATGATTAGAAAGACATGTGCAATATTCTTGGCACAAATCTTCTTCATCTCCTCTAGGCTGTATGGTAACCCATCTCAATCTTAACCTCATTGAGTTTTTTTTTTCTTCTGAGCATCTTTACATCTTTGACTCAATTCAAGTAGCCATGAATTTCAATCATTTTTGTTAACATTCTAATGATTCTGCAGGTCAAATATGATTTCTTAGGAATGCAATTTGCTTCATTCTTATTTTCACATCAGCATAGCCAAGATATCAAACCTCCTCATAACTTGGGAGACATGTCTGCCATTTCTGCCACCCCGCTAGCACACATCTCCTTAACCTCTTTTTTGCTGTACCCAGCCTCCACTAGAACTGCTAATGTGTCTTGGCCTACAGCTGGGAGGGCCATTGTGGATGGACTACCAGGGGTACGTGACAGGAGTGGAGCAGGGGCGGGTTCATGCCCCCCTTTTGTATTCCTTAAGAAGTGTCCCATGAATTTGTTGTGAGGATGCTCAGATGCCTCGTCTCTGGTAAGGACTGGTGTGGTGCAGGCATCTGTCTTCTCAAAGATGTGGGTCCACTCAGCCTGGGTCTTGGTGGCAAAGATACTGGCAAATGTTTGCTTCATACTAGGCCAGTCCTCTCTGCTCATTTGTGATGGTAGATCTTCATCATCAGACAGTCCAAGACCTGCAACAACACAACAGAAAATTCTCCATGACATGCACTAATCAGTATAAAAACCACAAGTTTTCCACATTAATCGTTTGTGAATTTTATAGAAAAGATTTGAGAATATCTGATGCGGTATTTCATACCATTTTTATCTTCTTCACTGCTTTATTATTTGTTTAAAATTCCAACACTCTTTTGAGCTTTCAAAGGCTAATTCCCTCTCAGCTCGTGAAACGTACATGTTGGACTGTTGGTCTTTGTATAGGATAGTCATGTTTACTTGATTTCACTCATATTACATTACATATACATGTAGATATGAAATCTAATCTTCTAGAACTCTCTTTAACATGAGCAATATTACATTCAAAAGCAGCAATTAATGAGAATACAGGGCAAACTTATTTTATAATACTAAAGGTTTGCATGGAATTTATTTTTGACTTTAACTTTTACCTATATCTGGAGTGTACTTACATGTATGAACTCACATTATCTCTTTAAAGTCAGCAATTTTCTAAGCTGGCATTATGAATATAGTATGCTGGCATGGAACCGCAAACATGGAGACTAACATTGTTTTGAGTGATTAGTCCCCTCTTAGGCATTGGCAAAGCTCTCACCTTGTAGAAACTTGGCATAGAATTGTGGTTCAAGAGCCCCCACAGCCATGTACTTTCCATCTAAAGTGCGATAAGTTTCATAGAATGGAGCTCCTGTATCAAGAAGATTCTTCCCTCTATCATCGCTGAAGAGCCCCATGTTACGACCCATCCATAACCACGAGCTTACATAGGCTGAGCCATGAACCTGTAAATAAATCAAATGAGGATCATATCAATGGCAATACAAATTTTATCATGATAATTACAATAATAATAATAATAATAGTGGGTTTCTTGTATAGCGCTCATGTCTGTCAGACTTGACACTCCTTACATAGGCTGAGCGATGAACCTGTAAATAAATCAAATCAGAATCATATCAATGGCAATACAAATTTTATCATGATAATTACCATAATAATAATTATAATAGTGGGTTCTTGTATAGCGCTCATGTCTGTCAGACTTGACACTCCTTACATAGGCTGAGCCATGAACCTGTAAGTATATCAAATGAGGATCATATCAATGGCAATACAAATTTTATCATGATAATTACAATAATAATAATAATAATAGTGGGTATCTTGTATAGCGCTCATGTCTGTCAGATCTTTATTAATGGATTGTTTTATGTGGACATATCTGAATGAAGATTTAGCAAACATTAAGCCTCATAGAGAGGGTATAATATGCATTTACCAGCTCTATATCCTTAAAATGTGTTTCTACCTCTGTGTGATAAAACCATGATTGTCAACAATTATGCAGTTTATATTCCAGATGCATCTCTTTGTGCCACTTTTTCATTGATCTATTTTAGTACTCTTTATAGGATTCATCTGAGTAATCCAAGTCTTAATATTCAATGGGTTTATGCTAAGGCTGTGCACAACAGTGTAATGAGGTACCCGAGTACACTCCCAGGCTTACAAGTGAATACTTGAATATTCGGACGCCATGCTTTTTAATAATTATTTTGAATTTTTTTGAATTTTTTTGATTTTTTTTGTTTTTGTTGTTGTTTTCTTCTTCTTCTTCAGGAGTACTCCTCAACGTTCCGTAAGGAACCAAGCGAGGAGGATGAGGGGGTGCGCACTGTGCTTGTTTAGTTCTTATTGCTTGAGTCTTGGTTGCGGAAAAAGTTGGTTGCTTGGAGTTTGAAGGTGTCAATGTTCGTAGTCCTTTGGATGTCGGAGGGTAGTGAGTTCCAGTCCTTGATGGTACGTGGAATGTAGCATACCACTGGAACAGTATCCCAGTTCTGTCGCCGAAAACCCATGCAATTTTACTTCGAGTTGCAGTTGAAGGCGCCGATTTAATAATAATAATAACAGTAAACAATGCTGTTTTAAAAACCAGAGATGGCAGAATGATCCATTTTCCTCCAAGTCCAAACAGAAATCCAGACATTTGGTCCCAGTTTCTGAGTGGTGAGTTTGACAGTGCTTGAGTTGGGAAACATTTTTACCGACGACACCATGCCAGCGGCAGCCGCCCACCCAGGCACGGGTAAGCGTCGGCCTGAACATATTTTTATTTTTTATTTTTTTTGCGGCCGAATATTTGGGTACAAGAAATCGTACCCGAGTAGTTGTCAACCGTGCGGGTACTCGAGCATTCCACTACACGTCGCAGCCCTAGTTTATGCCTTGCAAAAAGACACAAGTTAAGATTGACTGAACAAAATACATGACTGCTGCAGATCACCATTTGCCTTTCACGTGTCTCCCAACATTTAATAGTCACATGTCAGGCCAAAAGTGAAAGAAAATGTAGTACATTTTGCATACATTTGTGTACAACATGCTGCTTTCCTAATTTTCTCAACAACACTGCAAATTGTGTTTTTTATGCCTTTTTCTTGATCTTGTAATATATCAACATACATGTCTGAAACAACAAATCATAAAACCAAATAAATACATTAGAAATTAAAAAAACAATAGAAAACATAAAAAAATTAATGAAATACTTGTGATTTGATTTGAAATTTGAAAATTTGTCTTTACAATAATGTCAACTATGCTACTAACAAACGTTATTTTAAAGATTGACCTTCATACCTCATTTTTCAAAGACAGTATCAATAAATAAATACCAAGTCTTAATAGGGTTAAAGCTAACCAGTAAATTTGCAATGATAATACAAAACATTAATTACATCTTACTCACCATATTTGCATCAATGACTTGGCCAAGTCCAGATTTTGTTCTTTCAAAGAGAGACAACATGATACCCATGGAACACATAAGACCCCCTCCAGCAAAGTCTGCTAGCAAGTTGATAGGGAATGTTGGCTTCTCCCCAGCTCGCCCAAGTAGAGACAGCACTCCTACAACAATGTCAAATTAAAATTATGATTCATGCTCCTTGGCTTTGCAGTCAGTTTTTAGTATTCCTGATATTTCAAAACTTATCACTCTACCTAACCCTAACCTAACCATATACCTACCTCTATTAACCATTAGGAGCACAGTGTCTGCATTTAGTGATGTATTTGCATTATCTTTTGATCCAAAATACTAGGGATTACACATTATGAGAAGAAATATAAAAGATCAGAGAAAATGTTGAATCTGTTTCTAATGCAGTACAGTATGTTGTGCCATTCACAAATAACAGTAATTTAATTTGACTATCCATTAAAGTCTCTAAATTGGCAATACTGTTTAAATACATAATGCTATTTGAATACACAACCAGTTAATCACTATTTTCAGGTACATCAGGCAATTTTTATGTTGAATTTTAATATTTTCCTTCACATTGGTTCATTTAATATACATTTTTTATTTTGTTCAAATTTGAGGAGGGAAAGCTGATTAAGTTAGACCTTACAAAAATTTGAACTGCATAAATTCTAACCTTAAACCTAACATAAAACCCAATCACAACAATTGCCCTTACCCTGTACATCTTTGATGAATACATGTATGTATGTGTAGGAAAATTATTGTGTATTAAAATCAAGTACAGAATATTATATCTTTGTTTGAGGGAAATAAAAAAATATTTACATTTACCACTACAACACAGTTCTCGTATCTGATTAACTTTCAAATGTAATATTCTTTTTCTTCTAAACAATTTGTACAAACTGAAGGAGAACATCATACTAAGATATAAGTAACTCCAAGATTATAAAACTTACCTGAGGTTGCAATGTAATTGATATCATGACCTGCTATGTGCTTTAGAGGACCTTCCTGTCCAAAGCCACTCAATCTAGCATAGATCAATCTTGGGTTCTCTTTCATTAACACAGATGGACCAAGACCCATCTTCTCCATCGTTCCTATTGGGATTCAAAACAGAAAAGAACACTAATGAAACTATGGAAAACATTGTATAGAAGATTTAGTAACATGCTACCGGAAGTCTATTCTACACTTTTCCTGATCAATTCAAATCCAATTTAAACTTTGCAAACAAACTTTGAAAATGCCCATTCTAAAATTAGTTCAGCAAAAGAGATTTGATGGGCCTATTCTAAGCAAAAATGTGCCCTGATGCTAGAAAAAAGTGGTCATATTGACCCAATCAACAACAACATAGTCATTTTGGTCACTGTTTGATCCAAAAGTTATAATTTGTAGAACAATCAATCTCATTGAAATTATTAAACAGTTTGGACCTCTTTGATCATTTATATTGTTGGAATTTTTTTGCTGTGCTGCATTAGTTGAAAAATGTCTACCCGCAAGCTGAAAATTGAATCCATCCTATCGTAACTCATTTAATGAAAATATTAAAATATAGCAGATGAAAAATCTATTTCATTCATGCGAAAACTTCACCCAGAAGAGCAACAAGTTATTTATGCAATGTGCATTCTGACAATTATGGTACAAAAGATGATAGCGGGTGAATGAAGTACTTCATCACCACACATACATGGGAAGAAAGCCTACATAAACTTGAATGAATTTACTTAATAAACAACTTTGCATAGTATGTCACTTTATCAGGAAAATAGTGATGCCCATAGCTTGCTGAGAAACTGAACATTATGCTAGAAATCTTGTTTTATACCTCTCTGGTAGGAAATTTTGTAGAATAATTGAAGAATTAAAAAAAAATTAATTAACCTGATCAGAGTAACTAAAGATATTTCTTGGGGTAAGGCTTCCTTTAAGTTAAGAACTGGTATGTTCCTGATGAAATAGTAATGAATTTTGTACATGTCTAGAGATTTTTTTTTGTCTTTCACTGTGTAACTAATTTTTGTTTTAAAGGCCCACTGCACTACTTGTAGCTACTTGCGCCCTCTATATAACAAACAATGCCTAATCGGTGACCATTGATCCCCCATGATCCTCTTTATCTTATGTTAACTGAGAGCTGAGTTGATGAGATAACCACCTGTCCAGTGACCTTGTAGGGCGGTCTAATCCCTCCTGTAAACTATGGCAGATAAGCTTTAAAGAATGGATATAAATTTTTCCTACCTCCTTCTTCACAAAAAATAGCAACAATAATAACAAAACGGCCAGACCAATGATGGTTATTTGAATTTTGAAAGTTACTCTACTACTTCTTGTTTCATATAATTTGTAGCCATTATTGCAAATTAAGTCTTTCACATTAAATGATGCCAACAGATGGTGCTCAACCGGAACCAGTGTATCTCAATGAGAGCCTACCGGTAATTCTATTTATTCATGGAGAAGCTTGGATTGCATGCTTCCTAATGTAAGAAGTGAGCAAGCCTGCCTCGAATAGAAGTATTAAGACCATCACAGCTTTTCCACAGTTCTGGATGGGTTTTACATGCTACTATATTGCGTTACGATCCCTAACTGGAACTCTTGTTCATATGGGTCGAATACATGGCCTTTCAATATTATAATTAATTTCTATAACTGACTGATAGTTGTCAAAAATATCATTATCCTGCAATCTGCATGTTGTGTGAATTTCAAATACAAATTAGAAAATAGAATGCAACTTGAGTATTTGCCCCCAATCAAATACAGAGAAAGAAGTTAATCTATATTAAATAGAGTACCTGGCCTAAAGGGTTCAATCAGTACATCAGCATTGCTGCTTACTCTCTTGAATGCCTCCACTCCCTTTGGTGACTTCAGGTTGAGGGCAACAGACAGCTTGCCACGAGAAAGCGTGTCACTTATTACACCCATCTGCATAATTCTGTCCACTCTGATGACCTGAGCTCCGAAGTCTGCCAGGATCATTCCTGCATGGGGGACCGGTGCTAGACCAGCTATCTCAATCACCTTCAATCCAGCTAGAGCCATTTTAAATCTGTAAGTCAAACATTCAAAATGTGCTTGTTACATGTACATATCTTACAACTAACAAGTAGTAGATATGTTCAAACTTAAATGTCATATTTGGACAAAAAGAATGATCACTGAGACTTACTCGATTCTGAAGGACCCAACAAAATATTAAGAGTAAATCCAACATTAATAGAAAGTTGCTCTGATGGATTGCAAAACAGTCAAAGAAACAGGTTGGTGAAAGACGAAGAGACAAAATGTAAACATCGTTTACACTTCAAAAAAGTGAAACTATACAAAAATGTCACTGTGATGTATCATCATCATACAACCCCACACACAAAAAAAACTTTTGTTGCCGTAACAAAATACATTTTGTCTCTGCATGAGCAAGATGTTTTCTTTCCATACGGTTTACCCGAGTACAGCAACAAGGGAAAAGTTCAAAAGGTTACTATTAAAGGAGAGAGATAAAAATACATGTATATAAATTTCAATATTTTAATGACTGCCTATCTTACAGTATGTTGCAGCAGTGTTATGCATTTGTTAACCAATTCAAAAAATGTAATGCCCAGCGCCATTATTCGATCCTACTCCAATACAACTTTTGAAGAATTGGCAATTATAATAGACTAGCTGCTTCGGCAGACAGAATCAGTGTTACGAATCTCGATCGCGGTCTCATCATACATTATCAAAGTTGTAAAGAAGTGGAAATAAATAAGGGAAACGCTTATATAACGATTACCTGTGGAGGGCAGACTATATTGACTATATATATTTATTATTACAGGCTATATGATTTATTACAGACTATATATACTGATTATTCCATTTTAATACCATCACACACATGTTACCATAAATCTAGATTGTCTTCAAATGATGATACATGTATCACCAAGTTTGAACCCCATATATAATCTCTCTAGTGCTCCTTGAGGTATCCTAATAACAATGCTAAAACCCTGTAATTTCAGAAATCGACCTACATGTATAGTACCTAAAATTTGATTAGATTATCTTCCTATGGTGCTACAGTACATGATATCACCATTTGTGTGCCTCATATCTCTAGTGGTTTTGAGATGTTGCGATAACAAGGCAAATACAGAATTTCAGAAATTGACCTATAAACCCAAAATCTGATCAGATCGTCTTTCAATCAAATGGAAATATAGTAATCATACATTCATACCAGCATACAGGGGTGTCACTAGACCTATTTCAGTGGGGGGGGGGGGGGGGGGGGGGGGAGTGTACTCTCAAGAGGCCACCGATTACCGACAAAACTACACTGTAGCCACCAACTACCGACAAATATATTAATGCCAATGTATGTGCCAATGTCTACAAATTTAACTCTATAAACCGGGGTCCCGGGCACCACAGGCGCAGCACATACAATGATGTGCTCAGATCACTTTTACTTTGCCCCTCCTCAATTTATTGTTAACTGAAATGGCACATGTAAAAGTAAAAACAAAATTGACTGACATGGATTGGTCGTCCATTTATGGTTGGCATGGCAACCAGAGTTTATAGATTTTTTTTGTGGGTATAATCTAATACCTTTTGTTTTCCTTTTCTCCTTTTTTTTCTTCTTTTCCTTCCATTCTTTTTCTATTCTCTTCTCTTCTCTTTCTTCCCTTCCTTCCCCTCCCCTCCCCTGTTGTTGTCTTCTCTTCCCTTTATACCTTCTCTTTCTTTTCTTCCCCTCTCAATTCTTCCCTCCCTCTTTTCTAATTTTTCCCAACGGCAACACAATTTTACCGCAGGCGCGTAGCCAGGGGGGGGGCGGTGGGGGCGGTCGCCCCCCCAAAAAAAAAACGCCGGCCAAAAAAAAAAGAGAGAAAAAAAGAAGAAAGGAAGAGGACGTAGGAAGAAAAAGGATTAAGAATCGTCTTCTTTCTCTAATAATTTAATGAAAAGTCTAAGCTTCCGCGCTTCGCGCGGGAGGGGAGCTAGGGGGGAAAAACTGAATTCAGATAAGGATTAAGAGTCGAGAACGGTACAACAAATCGTCTTCTTTCTCTAATAATTTATGAAACATCAAAGCTGGCCGCGGGAGGGGAGGGGGGGGGGGAACTGAATTCAGACAAGGATTAAGATTCGATCGAGAATGGTACAACGCATCTTCTTCTTTCTTTAATAATCTAATAAAACTTCAGAGCTTCCGCGCTACAGCTTCCGCGGAGGAAGGGGAACTTGATACAAAAAGAGTCGAGGACGGTACAGCGAATCGTCTTCTTTCTCTAATGAAACGTCGAAAGAAACTGAAGGATTAAGAGTCGAGAATGGTACAACGAATCGTTTTCTTTCTTTAATAATCTAATAAAACTTCAGAGCTTCCGCGCTACGCGCGGAGGCAGGGGAACTTGATTCAAACAAAGATTAAGAGTCGAGGACGGTACAGCGAATCGTCTTCTTCCCCTAATGAAACGTCAACAGAAACTGAATTTACTAGGATTAAGAGTCGAGAACGGTCCAACGAATCGTCTTCTTTCTCTTATAATTTGATGAAACCTCAAAGCTTTCGCGCTTCGCGCAGGAGGGGGGAAACCGCCCCCCCCTAAAATGAAATCCTGGCTACGCGCTTGTTTTACCGTCAATATCACCTCCCCCGTTAGCAAGTTCAGAGGCTATAGATCTAATATAACAGTAAAACCCTCGGTCCACAATAGTTGCACTTGCAATGAAATACCCTCAAGCAAAGATTACTTCTGAGTTCTGTAGCTCTAGGTTTGAGTATCAAGACGGTAAAGAACGCAAAGAAAAGAGCAATAATGTAATTCAAGAATAGCTTGGGAGCATTGGACTTTTTCGATCCCATGGCCATGTCATTTATGCACATTTATGTATTTATGTATCGGAGCTCCCTGGAGTTAAGCCAGGCCAGGTAATGCAGCTACACAATCAATGTATGTGTGGCAGTGTGCATGGGTCTAGGCTATATTATTTTAACATGATAAAGTAATAATTTGCCATGGCAGTGGGCACTGGTATTTAACTCCAGGAAGCTCCAACACCGGCGCCGCAGGCGTCCGACGCCTGCGGCGCCGGTGTTGGAGCTTCCTGAAGCTGGAGCTGGAGTTATCTGATGGCATAACTAGACTTAACTCCGGGAAGCTCCAACACCGGCGCCGCAGGCGTCGACGCCTGCGGCGCCGGTGTTGGAGCTTCCCGGAGTTAAACTAGACCGAAGCTAACTAAAGACAGACATTTTCGGTCTATGGTATAACAAGAACATAACAACCTTAAATCGTGTATCGTGTTAGGTATCAAATGACCACAACAGATGAAACGGTGTTTCTTACCTCTTACCTTGGCCTTTGCTTTGGCATGAACCTTTTCCTTTGCCTGCATGGCCTTCCAAATACGGATAGTTTATAAACGGGGTCTAGACAGCCCGACCCAAAGACAGACCGACCCTGGACAAACCCGACACAATACCCTGGACAACTCGACCAAGTAGAGGCCACCGACTCCCGACAAAGCTAGCCACCAATTACCGGTAAAATATATTAATGCCAATGTCCATGGGTGTCGATCCGTAACTGATACCTATTCATCAGGGGGGACAGGGGCGTAGACAACAGGGGGGGGGGGGGGGTGAGGGGGATGCATCCCCCCACCATGTACAATCATCCCCCCCCCCAGGTTTTTGGGAATGATATTTGCTTACTTAATAAATCATAATGATGATAATAATAGTAATAATAATAATGATAACAATTATAATATTAATAATAATAATAATTATGATGATGATAATAATAATCCTCATCATTATTGTAATTGTGTTTATTGTTATTAGCCGCATTCACACGGTGAAAGCCAATTCAGACGGTAAAAAAAAAGAAAATCTTACAAGTATTTTGTGGTTATCTTGTGGTTTGGAAACCACAAGATAACCACAAGATTAAACAGGCGCGGATCTACGGGGGGGGGGGTTAGGGGGTTTAACCCGCCCCCCTTGGGCGGCCAAAAAAACAAACAACAAAAAAAGGAAAAAAAAAGAAAAAAAAAAAAAAAAAAAAGAAAGAAAAAAGAACGCACGCTGGAGAGAAAGTGCAAATATTGTGAGAAGATATTCAACTCATCTGGTAACTTAACCAAACACATGATAACTCTGGATATAACTGTGTATTTAACTGTTACTTGATTTAAAAAGACGTTATCATGCACTGCTTTTTATGGCCTCCATTGTGTTAATAGATGCCAGGAAAACATCACTTACGGGGTTCAAATAAACACCCAAAAAAAAATCGGGTAGCCGCTTCGCGGCTCGTGGACGATGCTCCGCATCGTCATTATTTGCCAACCCCCCCCCCATTAGCAAAAAGCTAGATCCGCCCCTGAGTCATCCCCCCCCCCCCAGGTGTACGAACCTGTCTACGCCACTGGGGGGGGGGATGATCTATTCATTCATCCCCCCTGATGAATAGGTATTACGTAAGGATCGACACCCATGCCAATGTCTACAAATTTACCCCCTATAAACCCGGGGCCAGGAGCTAAAATATTTTTCTTCAGTCCCCCCCCCCCTTCCCTCCTGCGCGAAACGCCGAAGCTTTGACGTTTCTTTAAATAATTAGAGAAAGAAGACGATTCGTTTTACCGTTCTCTACTCTCAATTTTTGTCTAAATTCAGTTTCCCCTCCCGCGCGAATTTAACGTTTCATTTAATCAATAGATAAAGAAGACGAAACGTTGTTCTTTTTTCTACTCTTAATATCCCCGTCTGAATTTAATTTCCCACTCCCGCGCGAAGCGCGGAAACTTTGACGTTTCAATAAATTATTAGAGAAAGACTGAAGACGATTCGTTGTACCGTTCTCTACTCTCAATCATTGTCTAAATTCGACTCTTAATAAGCCCTATTTATCTGAATTCAGTTCCCCCCTCTCGCGCGAAGCGCACAAGCCTTGACGTTTCCTTAATTAGAGAAAGCAGACGATTGGGTGTACTGTTCTCGCCACTCTTAATCCTTGTCTGAATTCAGTTTCCCCCTTCCCGCGCGAATCGCGAAAAGCTTAGACGTTTGACTTAATTATTATAGAAAGAAAACGATTCGTTGCACCGTTTTCGACTCTTATTAAGCCCTATTTATCTGAATTCAATTCAATTCATTCAATATAAACAACAAATTAATTCATTCATAGACCTACATAAACATCACATGCATTGCAGCCCTTAAATATCATCCCCTCGTCCCTTAAGTTTTAGGTGTGAACAAAATGACAACCGCCGAGTAGGACTTGGGCATTTAATGCAACAGTTACCGTATTATTTATCACTCTCAATCAGATGCGTTCACAGTTTTCACACCTCTTAAAAAAGGTTTCTGGAATTCATATAATGATACATGTAATGTGTTTATTAATTAAATCTAATGAATTCTTTAATTTCCTCAGCCAAATCCTTTCTCAAATATATAAAATGATAAGAATGTGTACAGGCTTACCTTGAAATAACTAAAGAGACATACGGCCACCGTAAGTCTTGAACACGCCAGGTCTGGAACTTCAGTCTTCATCTACCCCCCTCCCCCCACACACTCCGGGGTCGGAGGGACCGCATGCGCGTTCCTAAAATCTCCAGGAAAGGGGTACTTTTCGTGCGACAAAATCCGGCCCGAGAATTGTAAAAAAAAGGGGGTGTCTTTGACTTTTCACCCGGAGATTTCTTTAAAATGGGTGTGTTTTTTCTCTCTCTTTGGACTCCTGAGAAATGTAAAAAGGGGGAAATAAAATATCTTGAATATCATAGAAAAATTGATCAAATCCTGGGATCAAATTCCTGAAATTCCTGCTAGCTTTGAAAGCTCATTCAGGATTATTTCATTTTGAAAAAAAGTAAAAACATTGGCCCCAGTCCCCCTCGATCGACTAGAGCTCACCTGAAAAATGGGGGGGGGGGGGGGGGGGGGGGGGTCTCCAAGGCAGGAAAAGCCAGCGAAAAGCCGGCGAAAGGGGGATTCGGAAATGTTGGCAGTCCTGAGATAGGGGGGGGGGGTGCTTTTAAAGGGATGGAACGAGCATTATACGCGTACCCTAAATAACACTGAGTGGGGGGGGGGGGGAGCCGGGAATCTACTGTACATGATTGCACTTTTTTAAGTGCTGGCGATCAGCCACTTTACGTCTGGGCTATAATAATACCTTGCAAAATAACGAAAAATTATTCTGAAGTTTATGAAGTGCTTGCATGTTCGCGCACGTCGCGCAACTACTCTTAAAGGAAACCTAAACCCAAAGAATAAGTGTAGGTATTCTGAAAAATGAGATGTATTCCTGTCCTTTGATGTACAATATTCCTTACGAAAATGTACAAGATATATATAAATGAAGATATTCCTGGCATGATGTGATGCCTTTCAGTATTATGGGCGCAGCCATTTTCTTGAAAATGTGACGTACCTGTTGAAGTTGTACATGTATCATGCACCAAGTTTTAGTTGGAAAGGATTTTTAAATCAATATAACGAAACCTTTACTTTTCAATTTAAACAAATAATAACTGAGATGATAGAAATTATAATAGGTGAAAAATAAATAATAGGGGTACAATAAATTATTGTAACAAAATTCATTTATAAATACTACGCTATAGCAGTTGACAAATGAGAAACCTTCACCCCAGAAGAGAACTAACCTATTTATGCAATTTGCGTTCTGGCAATTATAGTACAAAGGATACTAGCAGGTGAATGAAATGCTTCATCACCACACACGTCTGGGAAAGAAGCATCCATAAATTCGAATACATTACTTGATAAACGACTTCGCATAGTACGTCACATTATCAAGAAAAAAATGGCGATGCCCATGTCGTGTTGAGAAACTGTACTTTATTTTTGCTTTATTCCTCTCTCATAAACTTTAGTGGGGAATCTTGTAGATGTATGGGCAATAATATAATAAATCTCTCGGAATAAGTAAAGTAAAGTTCGGCTTCTTTTAATGATCGTGACATACTGTATACGTGTAAGCTATAACAAAATAACCCATTTCTCATGCATTATGCTGAAATTGAAACAATCACATTTTTTTCTTCTTCTTCTTCCTTTTTTCCTCTTTTTTTTTGGTAGTAATCTCAGGGAGGGATATTTGTACAGGCCACCCCCCCCCCATCCCCCGGGATTTACGCCTTTAACATTCTTTAACATTCATGTACATTAATCCTATTGGTGGGGGTATTCTAAAGTTAAGACTATTACGTGGTTTCTAATTCGATACCAGTGATTTAAAAATGTTGCTGAAATTACATGACCTTCCGTTTTTTGGTGCACTTTTGCCCATTATTCCAAAGGCGGCACCCCCACTTTTTCAGGTTTCCCCAAAGTTCCCCTTTGTACATCGGACAATTAAGTGCCCCTTTCCTGTTTTATAACTGTCCTTTTCATCTCTTTTCATTTCTGGCGAATGTACGTCTTTTCAGGTGCGAGAAATTCCCCTTTTCACTTCTTAAATTTGTGCCCTGTATAATTCGACTCGTGCCCTTTTCCTTCTTAATAAGTGCACTTTATTTCTTCGTAATAGAAAGTCCCCTCTCTTTCAGCTCTTAAATGCCACTTTTTAACTCTGAAAAATGCACTTTTCGTTTCTAATAAGTACTTAGTACCACATTTCCTTCCGATACATGCCTCATTTCATTTTTTTAAAATAGTAAATATGAGCCCCTCCCCGGCCCTTTTCAAAACATGTAATAAATTCGCCTATTTAATTCTGAGAGGTGCCCTTTTCCTCCACTAGATTCCCCATTTCCATTCTCACAAAGTCGAGCAAACCAGTGGATTACTCCAGCCAGCAGCAGCGTGACAATGATGAATAAAAGCTGAGACATGCATGGAATGGCGAGAGGACGAGAGAGAGAGAGTGATATAGAGAAAGAAAAAGAAAAAGAAAAGTCATGAAGAAGAGGAAGTATAGAAAGCGGAAGAGAGAGAGAGAGAGAGAGAGAGAAAGAGAAAGAGATAATACAAATAGAGGGAAGTAAGAGAATTTAATTGAGATAAATTATACAGAATTAAGAGAATAGCAACAAATAATAAGTTCATAACACAATGAAATATTCAATGACAAAAGCCGCAAACACCTCTTTTCTTGCCTTCGATGAAACTGTCAAAGAGAAGTTATCCGGCAATCGTACACCTTCGGTTCGTCAAAAATATATTCTCGTTGCCGCGGAAATTAGCTTTTATATTTTTTAAAACAGCTCTTAAAATACTAACAGTTTCCATGTTTCATGTCAAGACTGTGTTTATAAAAGCATAATTAATACATAAAATAACAATTTTGTCTAAGATATGAAATCATGAGGGGAAAAAGGTCGAGCTGTCCGCCGAAGCACCCCACCATGGACAACTCGACAGTCGAGTTGTCCAGGGTATTGTGTCGGGTTGTCAAGGGTAGGGCTGTCTTTGGGTCGGCTTGTCTGGACCCATAATACAGACAATTCGCAAGGTAGCGTATGTAGCGTACAAAAAAAGCACCGCAACTGATTTTTACAGCCGGGATTTTGTTTGAGTCAGAGCTGTCTAACTGAGTCGACTCTCCAACATCAACAACGTTTTGGTTTGAACAGGTACACTACTGGTCTTTATAGATTTAATGGTATTTTTGGAATTATTGTGAAATAAGAGTTAAGACACTAGGCCTACTCGATCATTTTGTCTTTGACTTGACTTGAGTTTGAGCTGAGCTGAGGGACTTTGCTCTGTACGTAATTCGTAGAGTCGGCCCGGGCGGGGCGGGGCCGCGCACCTAACCCGCCCAGTCGAAGTGACAACGATTTTCTGTGGAATTCCCCTCTACAAAGTTCGGTATTTTAAACTTGAAATATGGCATTTCAAGGCTCGTGAATAAAATTACTTAAATAAGACTTTTCTCATAAGTTTTTACTCCTTGTTTTTGCATGGATATGAAGATTTGTGTTTGTTGTGAGTTTTTTTTTGTTTATCGTCCAGTTAGGCTACGTGTATGGGCAGACAAAGGCACTCTGCACTCTGGCCTTACATGTACATGTAAACAAAACGATTTTCACATAGATTTTAAAAAGTTTATTTAAATTTCTGATTTGCAAAGTAGAGACTTCATAGTTTATAGTGGCCTTTTCTGTGTCAGGCTACGGACTGCTTTTACTCTCTTGCTGGTTTGATGTGATGTGCCATCAGAGTGGTCAGGGAAGTCTCATGTCAAATGTTGACTGTAAACCTTGCCCTATGCTGTTAACATGTTGTGTTCAATGAAGTTAATTATTTATGATGATTGATGCCTTTTGATGGTGATGATGAGTACTTGACGGTGCATGATGGAGGGTGCGATGAGGATGATAATACGTCTCAAAAAGTATATAGAAAAGAAGAAGATCCATATCTAAATAGAGCCCTTAGGCCTATTCCAGGATATTTTGTTTTGATATGAAATGGTTAATAGCCTACTACCAAAATATGAACAAAATATTCTTTGTTGCACTAGAATATACTTGTCATGAAAGTTTGTTAAGAAAACTTGTGTTGAGAGTTGGGAGTGATAGGTCTTGATCTATTCTAGCAGCAATAATATTTACAGCTGCCATCTGGGAAAATAAAAAGTACATAGAAGATTAGAAGTATTGAATTACCGGTATGAGCAAATATCAAATTCATTGTACAGCCTTGTTCCAATCATGAGCAAAGTTGTTAATGTTGTCTTTTTTCATTTCATACTTTTTTGTTGTTTAGATATATACCATTGTGAGATGCGACAAGCTGAGCTAACGTTGTCACTCTTATCCTGAAGTGATCATTGGACAAACGGCAAGAAAGTGAATGCTTACTGAGTCATTTCTCACAGACTTCATCAGTTGTGGATTTTTGAAACCAAGCGTTTACGAAGTAAAATATTATATTTGTTTCAAGTAAGAGGTCCGTATACATCTCTGAGTCCCTAATATCCGAAATTCTTACAAAGGACTTCTGAATTTTATCAGCAGAGCCAATTCACCGATATCCGTTGCAATGAGATTCAAACCTAAACACACCATCTCTCACGATGAGGCGGTGCAACAAGCTATGAAGCAGAACAAGTTCAGTCAGAATGTACAGACGTCTTTCTTCATCACACTCGTCAATAACGGACTTCCCCTAATCCTGTTTGTAGCTGTTGTTGCCACCTCCATCTACACTAAATCACTGTACAAGGCTGGGTATATGTTGGCTTGTTTTGCTGCATGTTTGTCTATTGCTTACATGGTCTGGTATTTTGTGTCCTACCTGGTTGTCTATGTGCTCTTATACACCAAGAAGATTGTGACAAACATATTCAGGCAGAGTACAGGGATACAGCAAGACAGGAAAAAACTGTGAATATATTTTTAGTGGTAAGATGTACTGTATAGCAATATGTACACTGATTTTGTTATCTTTGCATTGTTGTACCAATATCCTGTAGGCTGTATGGATACATTTTCTCAAATGGTAGCATAGCATCACAGATATATCATCAAACAACTTCATTCCTAGTCTTTTCTAACTATTGATTTTGTTTGTCACAGAAATCTTTCTTACATAATTGTTTTTTCGATTATGAACGTTTCATAATGATATTCCAGCATTACACATGGTGTTCTAAAGTGGTTGTATTGTTTTTGAAAATTGGTGCAATTTAATTTATTTCATAAATGCCAGTTATGTACTATCCTGCATGTTCATTTTCAGGGACATTTAGTCATGCTTGAGAAAAAATACAAATCATAATAATACTGAAAATGTCTGAAATACCGGTAACCAAGTTCGCAAGGAAAAGAAAAAAAAAGAAAAAGAAAATAGAACAAATATTTGTCTAAGAAATTCATAGGAAGTTGGTAGTGATTGCTCCAAGTACATTTATGTAATGCATGCCAAAACAATTAGATTGTTTGTTTGGAGCCAGTAGAGCATTAAGTCTCTGTTGGATTGCATGTATATGACTTAACGCCATTCCGTCTCCAAACTGACAAAAAAATTACAAAATACATGAGAGGCAAATTTGTACTTTCTCAAACTGACAACTCTATTATTGCCATAAAATTTTTACTGTATGTTGAAATTTATACCAATAGCTTTTAATGAGTTGTACATTTATATATTGTTATAGTTTTTAATACATTTTGGCAAATTCAACCATTTATTAACTTAAATATGTGGAATATGGTAGTCTTAAAGGAAAAAAAGATGAGATGTGTATGTACAGCGCTTAAAAGAAACTTGGATTAGAGTCATGGTGATGTTCTTTTCCAATTTACATTGTTTGCACTTGTCAATGGCAAATTTTATCTGTGATGTACAGCTCATTATTATTAATTTATTGTACATATACAACTGTATTGTGTTTGATTCATAAATACAATGAGTTCTCCCTTCCGGATAAAGCTGAAAACAAGCAAACGCAAGTGGCCCTCTATTTTTACTAGCGAATTTGCACGGATTTTGAAGTCACATGAACTTCCCGTCAAATGGGCCACACAGTATTGGACTCTTTCCTACTGACAGTGAAGCATGAGTCACTCACATTTCACTATCAGTAGGCATAAAAATGGAAAAAATGTACTTTTGCCTAAATTTCTAATGATGTAGATTTATTAAAAATGTAGGCCTTCAGTCTTTAAATGTGTGACCTTACTGTATAGTACAGGAAATTCTTTAAAATTCCTGACAAATCCGCATAATGATGGCTTGGGAAAAGAAGCCACTTGTGGTGCATCGTGTCAAGTTTTTTCAGAGATAATTTCTGCAATTGCTGGCATTTGCCAATGCTGGTATATATTACTTTTAATGAAGAAGTATGCTTACTGCTTAGTCTGCTTTTGTATTTTTCAAAATTGTAATTATTGAGCAAGATTAAGAATTGCAGAACAGGAATTATTAGCAAAACCTAGTATAGAAGAATACATGTTGTAGAACCACCGGAAGTTCTGGTGTGTACAAATTACAGAATCGCCCTAATCCCCCTATCACCAAGGTATTGTAGGCGCAATGCATTATGGGAATATGCCGTAGCAAGAGTTGTTAAGTCTAATTTTTACTATGCATAAGGATTGTGCCTTCATTTTATTTAAGAAAATCAATGCAATTTTTGTATTTTTGAATTGTTGATATAATTGAGTACATACATGTACATGTAGAATGTATGAAAGTACACGTAGTATTAGAATGTGGGAAATTGTAATTCAAGAGAAAGCAAGTTAAAGTTGTTTTGAAATGTTTCCAATGCATTTGATAAGTTGAAATATCATCATAATGCAAACAAAATTATGAAACCTTATGAATAATGGTAGACTGAAACTAACAACATACATGTACATGTAGATACATTTTATGGTATATAGGATGGTCTGATATTCAATTTAGTTGGCAGATATAGAATAGATATCATTCATTATTTCATTTATAGTATTTGAAATTCTTCGTATTTTTAAAAGAATCCCTAACATACGAAATATCTTGTGGTCACTGGTACACTTTTTAACATGTTCTTCTATAATTATGCAAGCTTTGTTTACGGTTGTTTAAAGATATGATATAGGCATGACTAAACAGAATATACCATGCTCATGTATAAAGAAGTCTGAATTAGAAGTTGATTGCAATATTCAAATCAATTTTATATCAATACTTTCTGACCATTTACATATGTACACGTAGACCAAAGATTAGCTGTAGGTTTTCATTCATGCTTTTGGATATTTGATTTTTATTTAAATTGAATGTGCACAGTGTTATCATGTAGTTAATGATTTGTCAGGTACTCTGTAGTACATTTCCAGTATCATCAATAACAGAAAATAATTAATGTAATGTGGAAAGATCTACTTTATGCATAACATGTACATTTTTATTATAAGTGTTCATTATTTTGTCCTAGCTATGAAGATTTCATAGCTTCATTTCGAGGAAAAACTAATTCACTGTAATATTTTGATTTATTGTCATTATTATTTTTCTTTTAAAATCTTTTTTGTTTTAACCTGTGCAAAAATATAGTTACACCAATGAGTTGCAGTGTTTTGTTAAATGTTCCATTGGCAACACATGTACTTACATTTTAAATATCTACATTTATGCAAGTTAAAAAGTAATTGTTTACATGTTAACAGTAATTTGGTGATAGATAATAGAACACAAGTGCAACTATTTTTGAAAAATCTATATTATGTCCCATAGAAATGTTTGCACAATTGCCTTAGATTTTTTTTAATAAAGTAGTTGCTATCATGTTATACGTGGTCAGTATTGTAATCCCGAACACATTATCGTTCCATGAATATCATATGTAACTTTTTAAATGTGAATCATACTATTGTAATTATTACTTGGTATTTTTAAATAATTTTGTGCAATAATATTATGAGTGACCTACTTTGACAAAAAAAAATTAAGAATAAGATATGAATTACCTATATACCCATTCTTTGTTTTTCTTCAAAGTACACCTGTAAACTGTTGTGACAAATCTTTTGATTACCTTGTTCCCATTTTGATGTCATAAGCCAAATAAAAGATGAATAGGGATTATCATTCATCTAACTATATATTCTTGCTTGAATTTTATTAGTAAACTTCATTCATATACATGAACATTTTGTTTCACAATACATGAATAAAACAATTATATAAACAAGAAAATCAACAAGTGGTATAATTTTGCGAGTAATCACAAATAAATAACAAACAATGTAGCTTGTAACAACATGTACCAGCCTATGTTTGACAATAAAGATACATAACAAATGTGAATGATAATTTCGATATTGATGTTCTATTGATATTTGTTTAATTATTATTATTATTTTTTACATAGCACACATTTTACATGGGTGGGATGCTAAAATTCTCCTCAAGTATTTATGAATGTTTTAAAATACTTACAGAAGGGATCAATTATATTTTCATTCTCAAGTTTCATATCAAACAGCATCACATCGTAAATCATAGGTATTGCTTGTTTCCGTGTTACCCACATATATATTTTTTTAGTTGGTACAATGTTGCATTTTTCAATATTATAGTGATCAAGTGCAACTACTGTATATTTACATGTAGTTACAAAAAAGTGCACAATACGATATTGTATTAACTTGTATAATTACCAGTGGAATGAGTGGTTCTGGGAGATCTCCAAAGTGCATTAAAAAGAATATATATTATGTTTTAAAATTTCATTGCATAGAACACGCTCGTATTTAGAAGTCATAATACATTTTAATTTCATTGGATTTTATTGGAGCTTAAAGTTTAGGCTTGATTCTCTAGATTGATTACGGGGCACTGATTATCAGATTTAGTAAACTATGTACATTTTAGCTGCAAGACTGCCTTAATATTATTTGTCTTCCTTTGGGTAGCCTGGTATTTTGTCTGTGTACTATAACAAGGAGGAGGAGGCCTTGAGGGAGAGAGAGAGAGAGAGAGAGGGGGGATACAGAAGGAAAGATAGGACATTTGGATCACATTCTCACTTTGTTAGACCGGTCTACGTTTGTTAAAGATTTGGGAGCCTCACATTTTTAAAGGCAACATTTCACTTATATTGCATCATTACGTGAAAGAGGATGCAAGAATTTTGAAAACAAATGTGTTTGCACTCTAATATTGATGAAAGAATACAAAATTTAGGTTTTCTGCGTACAACAAAAACCCAAATTATGTATTCTTTTATCAACTATTTTATCCTATTCTCTTCTTTTTCTACGTTTTCTTGAACTTTTCTTAGTTTTTCGATCTATTATCTTCTCTCTTATTTTTGTTTGTGTATATCATTCTGTCATTTTCTCTTTATATCTTTCAAGTTATTCTTTGTTTTCCTTAACTGGTAATTGAGTAATTGACACCCCATTTTCGTGTGGAAGCAGAAGATTTTTTTTGAGGATTCTAGAGTGCCCCCATTTTACAGTAAGAGACGCATACCAAGTGGACATTTCATATATTTGCAATGACGTTCTTTCGTCATTGCATTGTTTTCGTTCACATTCTGGCCTATAAATATTCTTTGCAATGACGAATATCAAGGGCGGATCTAGCTTTTTGCCAAGGGAGGGGGGGGGGGGGGGGGGGGGGGGTGGGGGGGGTTAACCCAATGAAGAGCGGCAATGCGATTTTTTTTTTGCTATTTTGAACCCCCGTATTATTGAGATTTTTTTCTGGCTGGCATCTACTACAGTGTGAGTCCAAAAAAGTTTACACCTAGAAAATTGATAAATATTTACAAAATCATCGATGAACATTAAATTGTTATATGTCTTATGAAAGAGTGTTTTATCCCAAATCATTTGGTATCATTTTGTGTGGTATGTGTTCACGCTTGAATGAACAGGAGACATTGTTTGCGAGAGTGCAAAAATCGACTTGCGCCAAAGTTGCCTATGTGATGTTTGAATAAAACAATTGGGATTTGGGTATTAATTCGGTCTTTGCAGATCCAAATAACATCCCTAACAAAATGAATCATGCCACGCATTTTAAATATCGAATATCAAATATCAACGAACATTTGTGCCCGCGTGTGTGGGTGTGTGTGTGACTTTGCCCTTTGCAAAAAACATATGCAATGCATTTCATTTGATACATTCAATTCATTCTCTCACTCCGCTAATCCCTACATAATACATACTGTAGGCATCACTTTGGCGCAAATCGATTTTTGCACTCTCGCAAACAATGCCACCTGTTCATCCAAGCGTGAACACATACAACACAACACTGGTACCAAATGATTTGGGATAAATCACTCTTTCATAAGATGTATAATAATTTACTGTTCATAGATGAGTCTAAAAATAATTAGCAATTTTCTAGGTGTAAACTTTTTTTTTGACTCACACGGTATAGCTCCGTTTAGTCTCATTTGACAACGCTCCCTATCGTCCAAAGTCAGCAGCCTAAAATGTTAGCCTATGGAATTTTACCCCCCCCCCCCCCCCCCACAAAAAAAAAAAAAAAAAAAATCGTTAAAATTCATTTTTGTTTCAACGAAAAGCACATCCACCCGACGTACGTTATCACTAGCTCTTTCATAATTGGAACCCTCATAATTATATGTCTCATTGACTTTTGAAAGTTCACCCACCGTAATTTGATCAAAATAGGTTGCAAGCTCGTCATTGCCTATAATACACACGTGAAACAAGTCGAACTTTGGGCTCAGTTTGCCAGGCGATTGTAAGGTTTTAGGTCAAGCACACGAAGGATAAGAAGCATGAATTATAATAGATCAGTTCTGATCGGTTCATTATGTCCATTTCAGCGAACCCCTACCGTAATTTTTCCATTGAAGATAAGCAAACATTTGCCGAGGTAAGCAAAAACATGAATATTCATGATCGCCATGGACTATTCGATTATTTACAGAGGGGTGCAATTGTGCAACCACATCAAACTCCCCTACTTTAAGTCAAGTATTTCATTGTATTATGTAGTTTGGTAGGTTTATTTTAATAACTGTTTAATTATCAGATATCAATGATAGTTTAAAGATATGGAAAATGTTCTTGTATTTTATATTTAGCAAAGCAATCTCACATACAAATTCACTACCAAGTGTCGTCTAATCCGCCGATTGTCGTCTGCTATATTCGTCCAGCGTGCGTAAATGAGACAACCGGAGCAATATGCATGCAATATGCATCGTCCTCGAGCCGCATGCAAAGCATCGAGGCGATTTTTGGGGTGGCTATTTTGAACCCCCATATGTGGTGTTTTCCTGGCATCTACTAACATCTATTATAAGTGCCTTAAAAGGACGTCACACGTAGCAGTCCACCATGTCGACGTGCAAATATATGAGTCCCTATTCTTAGGACTTATCGTCCAGAAATCCCATTCGTTTTGCACGTAGTGCTGGTTATTCCTATTTGGGTGCTTTACACATGTCCTTTTCCTTTAAAATCGTAGGCATAGTCTCTAGCATCTTATCAAGGTCTCTACATTCTTCGGTTTTCGAAATCACCCATGCATAATTACCGTCCAAGCGCCAATTTGTCCGTTTCTGGTCCGTTTTATAAGGCCTTTCTTTCTTCCTTCTTTCTATCTCAGCTATCCTAGATCCTACAGAGTTTTAACAAATTCCTTTAGATAGTCTACGAGATGTTCCTTCATCTACGACGTATAACCTAACCTTTAAAATGTCATCTTCGTACTCGAAATTCAAATCCGAAACCGACTACGTCAAAAATCTCTAAACTTTTTAAAGAATATAGGGGTACCCGGGGTAAAGTGGAACGCGGCGCAAAGTGAAACACGCCAGGTAATTTTTTGTTTATGCTGCCATCTATCTAAGTTCATGTGCCAATAACACTGCAACGAGGATGCATCGGAAAATATCCGCTTTTCATACATAAAAAACGATAATTAATATAAGTATATTATCTACTAAGATACTGTGTTTATGCCGAATTATCACGAGAGCCATATCAAAGATGGATGGGCTTAAGCTTAACGTTATACATTGTACCACTAGGGTTTATATTTGAACAATATCACTACCTGAACAGACATTATACAGATAAGTCACATTCAACTATCTAAAACATTAAATTCATTTCAATTCAGTTTATTCAATTCCAATAATACAATCATGACACAATAACAGTATAAATCGACCAAGAGTACAAAATAAGGTAATAATTATGTTATAAAGCGGTACATCAGATAACACAAGATAGAGCATTATTGGAAGTAGGGTGAGCAAGCCTTGCCTCCCCATGGCCACAAAAAAAAGACGGGCAAAACAAAATGGTTAAAAAATATATTACCCTTTTTGGGGGGAGTAAAAACAAAGCGCTCACTATGACACCCCCCCCCCCCCCCCCCACTGAGCGAAATATCGGCCGGCGCGATTTTCAAATTTCCAGGGTCAAAATAGAAAGAAAAAAAATTAGTACTCACAATCCCCCCCCCCCCCCCACTGAGCGAAATATCGGTCGGCACGATTTTCAAATTTCAGCACACTAGATTTTAAATTGATTTCAGATTTGGGCCCCCCCCCCCTTAAGTGACACTGCCAGCAGAAGCTTAGTACGAGTTCATAAAATGCTCATGTACTAAACAAAAAAAAAATTGCTAAGATATTGAACTTAAGATCCTGCTCAATCTAATCATATTTTAAAATATTTGAGAATACGTTGGTAAAATGAGTAAATAATATTTTGTATTCATAATGCTATGATCAAGATTTTAGTATTTGAAATACAAAATTAAAAAAAAAGAATGGATGTACCCTACACACACCTACACGAGTAAGTCGAGCGAGGTATCCTATGATATCGACATTATTATATCTCCCCATTTTCGTTGGAGTCTTTTTTGTGCATGGGTTTCATTTCTTGATTCTTTGTGCTCTCCTTCTCGTCGCTCTCATCATTGTCAGAATCGTCGTCATCCTCGTCGTCAACGTCTTTGTCGTTGGGTTCCTTCTCTTTTCGTGGACAGTTCCTCTCTCGATAGTAGGTGACGATCTTGTACAAGATGATCACGGGCAAGGAATCGATGTAGATGAAACAGACGTAGAGGGAGGGATAGAAGAGCATGTCAAGAAAGAGAGGAGAGTCAGCGAAGGTGATGACGGTTAGGGTCAAGGCCAAAGATACGTTCTGTGAACCGGTCTCGAAGGCGATGGTGCGGCACTTCTTATGAGGTTGACGGAGCAGGCGCGCGATACTGTAACCCATGCAGAAGCCTATCATCGGAAGTATTGCGGCACAGAACCAGAGCCTCCATCCAGCCTTGAGAAAGGCAGGGTTCATTATGATGCTGAAGGCGAAGGCGACGATGATGCAGATGAAGGAACAGACGATGCCAATCTAATGGTGCAGAAAAGGAGAAAGGTCATGGAGCAATGCAAAACTCAAGTTTTACAATCTGTCGTCCTCTTATTTTTTATGTACATCCTGAAGTTTCAACTGTTATTTACAGATATCATCATACATTTCGGAGCTCTGAACCTTCTTTCAAGTAAAAACTGGCAATCTTGGACATAATTATGTCCCAGAAAGTGAGCAGTATCAGGTTAGGACAATGAACATGCCCGTTTAACACGATCGTACGAATAGGGTATTTGTAATGTGCTTGTCATGAGTTGCTTTTTCGAAAATATTTGAGATCTTGTAGTTGTCAATAACGGGGATCGGACAGCGGAAGTACCTCCATTATAGGCCTCTGCCTGTCAGCCTATACGTAGCTAGAATACTAAATTCCCGGACTAAAAATAGTAGGGAAGTAATAGCACAGGACATAATTATGTCTAACAAGAAGACGCCATTTCAAGCACGGTATAGCATTGATGAGGACATGGCAGATGGCACCTCCTAGCTTACAGTGTAGTTACTTATTCTTCTTTTCAAAAACCGGAGAGTAGCCAGACCATTTACATGATTTAGAAACCGAATAGAAATTAACACAAACATCCAAAATTTGAGAGGCCCCCCCACCCCCGTTGGTTTGGTTTGGACGGGGATGTGCCGCTCAAGCCTCGAACCCCCTACCCATATTTAAGGGTCATTTTGTTTTCTTTTCTTTCTTGAAATGAAAGCCCATTTTTAACATTTTTCGGGTGTTTGCCATGCAGCGGGGGCTCAAGCCCCTCAAATTTCTTCACGCCCCAATAATCATAATTAAAAGACAAATACAAAAGAAAAAGAACGCAGCCCAACTCGCAAACATAATGTTCAAGGACCGCTCGTGTGAAAAATCTGCCGCAGATTTCTGGCAAAGTCCTATCCCTCACCCTAGTAAGATGCTTGGTCAGTGATTTCTTCCACCAATTCAGGAATACACCGAAAGCGACGGGGATGAGGATGATGACCAGAGTTGTAACGATGTTGACATAAGGAATGACCGCCTTGTCGTCGGTCCACACACGGCTATAGATGAAGAGATTGAGGGGCATCATTCCGATAGCAACCGCTGTCGAAACTGCTGTCATGCACACGCTATTTGAGAAAAAAGGAGGGGGGGGGGGGTGTTTAGATTAATTTCTTTGATTTTACTTTCATCTTGTTCCTATTGTGTGTGTGTGTCTGAGCACACACAAACAAAGGAAGACCTTGAAAAGGAACCCTTTTTTGCCATCACTGATATAATTAGAGGGAACATCAGATGAACAAAAAAACTCGTAATTTTACATCAGAAGGTGTTATTTCTTTGTAAGATGAGTCACTTTTACTTGCCCTTTTTATCAGTGGCGCGTCGCCGCTGCTGGTTACAGAGTGGAAAGGCCGCGAAAGAGAAAGGGGTGTGGGAGGGGATATCCTTCTCCAATGGTAGGAACCTTTTTTAAAAATAATTTTAAACCTTGAAACGGCACAATTTCATGGACAGATCTTTTTAGCGCGGAACCGACAATGGCACTGTTTACGTCGGATATTTCCAAAGTAAAAATGTGCATGTATTATTTATCCAGTAGGTCAGTTGGACTATGGATTAGTGTCTCCTTGCATGATTAAGTCTGTTTGTGCTTCGGTACATTTCGCTATATTGCTATATATAATCGTTTTACTGATTTTGAGTAGACATTCTATGACCCATTATTAATAAAAACGTGTTGTTTTATTAATCTTTTTGAAGAAATCTGAGTAGGGAATAGATTGTTTTTTGTCAAGAGTCCTTGAGCAAATCTGACGCAATTCATTCAGGTGATAATCTAATTTATATACATCTGAAATAACAGGAGAAGTCACTATTTGATTACAGATTTCATAACAATCTTACGAAATGCGGTGTAAATTAAGTCGCTTGTTCTTACCCCGGGCTCCTACATGGAGTTGAATAAAAACATATAAATGATAAACAATATAGGTTGATGCGGAAGTATTTCTATTCAGAAAAATTATTTTGTTGAACAACTACTCTTTTTGAGGAGGGGGGGGGGGGGGCTTAATCCAGCACACCATTATCTGCATGTAATATTCCAGATTTCCCTACATAAATCTACGTTGCACGTACCTGAGGCAGACATCTCCATCGACCCAGTAGGTGTAGAGATTAGAGAGGGTGCCACCGGGGCAGCAGGCAAGGACTAGAAGTGATAGAGCCCCTGCTGAAGGTAGTTGAAAGGCTAGTGCAATACAAAAGCCAATCAGGGGCATAAGGACGAACTGGCATAACATACCAATGAAGAAACCAGTTGGACGACGGATCTGTGATATCAAATTATGACAACAACGATGATGATGATAATAATAATAATAAATATAATAATCATCATTATCATACTGCCTTCACCAATACTACTACCACCCCCACTACTACTACTACTACTACTACTACTACTACTACTAGTAGTACTATCAATATTAAAAAATAATACAAATAAGGGTACCAATAAACACGGGTTGGGATCCCAGGGGCGGGCGCTTTCTAATATTTTCGCCCCCCTGCTAACGGCAAGAAATGGACATAGATAAAACTAGTGAAAACTACCCCAAAAAACATGGCGTCATATCAAACATCTTCTATTATTCAAATAGTGAATTTACATTTTGTTAAAGAACGACTAAACACAATGCATACCCACCGGGCGTAACCCCGTCATCTTTTAAACAGAGCAGAGACTAATATCAGTTGGGATATTGATATCTAGCAGAGGAGTGACCACACTGAACGGACAAAATAAAGTCCACTTTTACTATCCAGACACATACACGCATAATATACGACGCGCCCATCGCTTTTCCCGCACATTCTTGCGCGCGTGCACCTTCCCACACCCACACCTCCCTGTACCCGACCACGCACAAAGCTAAAAACCTGTACTACTAACCGTCTTTCTAAAATCCTTGTAGTTGAGAGTACATCCCATGGAGATCATGAGAAAGATCAGGATGATCATGTGGATCACCTTGGTCGCGAGCTTAAGATCCGGACCAGTGTACGGTTCAATCAAGGTTTCGTTCCCTGTCGTGTTCATCGTCCAGTTCATTATTGTCGTCGGCATCATGGTCGAATCTTCCATAGTGTCGAGATTAAAGGTCTGACGAAGATAAAGTGTTGAAAGAAAGGAGTGTAGAGTTTGCAGACAATATTGTGATACGTATGTCCCTTTTGCAGCCAACATCAAATTCTGTAGAACTTTGCAGGAATTATGACTATGTCATGTATGTCCTATCTGTGAAATGTTAACATTAGCAGTGTCCTAGTATTCAAATTATGCAAGGAAACCCGTTGACCGTCTATACTTTACTGTCAGACACTATTGACTGACTGACTGACACCTTTTTTTCTTTGGTAATGAGCTGTAACAGGTCCATGAGCAGCAGTGGCGTAATGAGCAAAAACGTTTGGGGGAGCTGACAAAAAAAATCCGCAGCACCCCACTCTAACATGCAGGCCCCGCTGAACGTTTCGCAAAGTGGGGTCTAGAGGCAACAAGGGGTGGAGCCCCCGAAGCTCAAGGGGCATAGGCATCAGTGGCGGATCCAGGAATTTCTTACCGGGGGGGGCACACAATGGCATGGTTAAATATATGTAAAACGATGAAGCGACAGAACGAGGCTTTAGCGGCGAGGGAGCGGAGCGACCAAGCGTGGGTGGGTCTGGGAGGGGGTTCTGGCCCCCTCCCAGAATAAGAAGCATTTGCAATTTTAGAACCAAATTAGTCGCATTTTCAGGCACTTCCTGGAGTAATATGATGTAAAAATAATTGCTTTCTCCTACCCCTTCCAAGAGTAGAGATCTTTCCTGGAAAAAAAAGAGGCCTTCTGATTGGTTAAAAGTTAGAGAAAAGTGATCTGTCACGTCTTGAGACGTTGTATATGCTTTGATGCTGCACAATGCACAAAGACTTTTTTTTTTTTTTTTGATACTTTATTTATTTATTTATTATCTATTCGGCAATTTCACAAAATATATAACAATGTAAATAAACATTAAAGGAATGTCAGTTATGAATGCACAATCTTACTGGAGGTCCTTACACTACGGTCATGACGTTATTATTCTCATTTTCCTCTGATTCAACCAACCTTTCAAAATAATTTTGAAGTTCAAACGTTCTGTTCTGGGGACTAAAATTAACACCACTAGCAATGGATGAAAAGGTGATCTAAACTCTTATTTAAATCACTTCTAATGATTTGAAATTATTCGAGATATTGAAGACGTGTGAGGAAAAAGAATCTACATTATTTACATTTGTAATACGTCACGAGTTAGATTTGTAATACGTCACGAGTTAAATTTGTAATACGTCACGAGTTAAATTGTAATACGTCACGAGTTAAATTGTAATACGTCACGAGTTAAAATTTTAATCAAGCACGCAGGGCTAGTATCTAATCATGGCTCTACATCCATAGGGTTGTTGTTAGTATATAGATCTGGGGGGGGGGGGGGGGGGGGGGGGTGTTTCACAAAGACTAAGATCGATTTAATTTGGACTTTAACTATGGCTTCATGCCACTGCATGGTTGCTCTGACTATTGATCTCTCAATTATGATCTTTAGATAATATTTTTTACTTCAATAATGAACTATCAAAAAAGGTATATTCTGTAGATTTGTGACCACGATTTGTACGTCCCTTGATGGTGGCATGAGAGGCCTGCCATAGTTCAAGTCCACCTTAAGTCGATCTTAGTCTTTATTTTTTTATTTTATTTTTTTTTATTTTCCTCTTGTCAGAGGTACTTTATTCATTTACAAAAATAACCAACACACAAATCATTACATCATAACAAAATTTTACATTCACTTTAAGTATTTTCTTAAACTATTAAGAGAAAATCTTCAGTGATATAAAATATCCCCGAAGATTTTCCTTAGTTCCCAGATGCTATTTCAAAAGCTCTCAAAAACTCTCCAAAAAAAAATACTATGTCCCGAGAGCCCCTGAAACAACATCCGAGATGTTATCCAAGAGTAACTCGTATTTAAAAACATGCCATATGAAAAAGCTGTTGTATGGTTTACCTTGAAAATAATTTAACATATACATCAAATAGATTGCGTATTGAGCATATGCAACGATTGTATTTATATCTGCTCCATTTGCAATGGAGCAATTAATAATTCTTCGTTTAATATAATTTTTTCTTTAAAGTTCAATTCAATCAATTCCACAATACGTTTCCAGAAAAGCTTTACGCTCGGGCACTCTAAAAGAACATGAACGAAAGATTCTGCTGTTTTACAAAAAATGCAAAGGTTTTCATTTACAATTTTCCATTTGCACAGATTGTATCTAAAGGGTAAAATCCTATGAAATGTCTTAAAGTTGAGTTGTTTTATTTTATTGTTTTTCAATGTCTTAAACTTAAATTTTAATGTATCTCTCCAATCAAAATCAATGACAAGGTTCAGTTTACCTTCCCAAAATGTTAATACAGCTGGTTCTCTTTTCTTAAAGTCACACAATAGGCTATAGAAATGGCTAGATTTCATTGAAGATAGTCTTATAAAATCAAGTGTTCTTATTTCGTATAAGTCGCCTTCGAATTGTGAATTTGTTTTATCGTCATGTGCGTAATTAACATCTTGAATTCTTTCGATCCACATTTTGGGATCGCATTTTTAAGCTTCGTATACATAAAATCAACTAGCAAAGAATTTGAGCCAAGCACTCTACAAATATGTTCTCTTGGCCGAAAACGTCCATTTTCTACAATGTCATTCATTGTTATAATGCCTTTTCTAAACCATTCTTTAAAAAAGAGAGGTTTGCTCTCATGTGTAATATTACTATTGTACCACAATACTTGATTTTCAACATTCATAACTTGTGGAAATTGAATATATTTAAGTTCGCTCCAAGTTACGAGACAGTTAACATAAAAATTAGGTATTTTTTGTTTTAAGCATAACTTTAACATGTCTTTACTGGAACAATTTGTTTTCAAAATTACTAACAACGGACATATTTTTTCAATCCAGTATCTAAACATAAACTTCCACGGTATATCATAATTATTTTCAAAGAAATTGTTAAACCATGATAAATGTAGCGATTGAAATTTAGAGTTTAAGTCGACCATGCCCAATCCTCCCTTTTCAATATCATTAATTAAGACTGTTCTCTTGACTTTTTCTCTTTTTGAATTCCATAGAAAATTATACATCAGTTTATTCAAATCAACAACTAGTTTCTGAGGGATAGGTAATACCGAAGCAACATACACAAATTGTGAGATTACAAGTGATTTAAGAATTACAACTTTACCATAGTAAGTTAAGTTTCTCATTTTCCAAAAAGTCAAGATTGATTTTACTTTTTCTAGTTTCACAAACCAGTTCAATCGATCAGACTCCTTTTTATCCCTTGTTAGATACATTCCCAAATACTTGACAGGTTCATCGTTCCATTTAATACCTTCGATAAATGCTTGTTGCTGTTGTATAGTAACAGCATTTGTTTTCATCACATTTAAGCTCGGCCCAGCGAAGTGTCCGAAATGTTTTACTTCTTCGAGAGATATGTTGGCAGATTGAATGTTGTTTAAAAAGAGAACAGTGTCATCTGCCAGTTGGGATATCTTAAATTCTTTTGAAATACCAGTGTCAGTAGTTACGACTGTGATACCATCTATATTATTATTTTGCTTTATTTTTAATGCCATAATTTCAACAACTAGAATAAATAATAGAGCAGAAAGCGGACAGCCCTGCCTAATGCCCCTTTTTATTTCAAATTTTTGCGAGACCCAACCATTATTTATGACACTCCCTACAGCATTTGCATAAATGACTTTGATCCATGTAATAAAGGATTCTTTGAACTTTAACTTATATAATAGTTGAAATAAGAACTCATGAGTAACCGTATCAAAAGCTTTTCTAAAATCAAGAAAAAGAAGGATACCTGAGTAATTATTTGATTCACAGTATTCAATTATATCTTTAACTAAACGTAGATTTTGCATAGCGGAACGCTGTTTTAAATAACCTGATTGATCAAAAGAAATCAATTTATCTATGACATTTTTTAATCTTTTACATAACACCTTTGCTACAATCTTATAATCTGTGTTAAGCAATGATATAGGTCTCCAATTATCTAGGTATTGTTTATCCCCTTTCTTGTACAGCAAAGTTAGTATAGCTAACTTTTGAGTTTCGGACAACTGTTTTTGATTAAAACCTTCATTTATACTATTTATTACAAGGGATTTAACATCCTCCCAAAAACATTTTAAAAATTCAGCAGATAAACCGTCACTACCTGGTGACTTGTTGTTTTTCATAGAAAATATAGCATTTCGACATTCTTCCTCGGTAAGTATTCCTTCACACGACATTGCTTCTTCTTCCGTTAATGCAGGAAGCATAGTTGAAGCTAAATAATTATCAATATCAGATGATTCAACTCCATTGATTGTTTTAGAGTACAAACATTTATAATATTCAACAATTTCACTAAGAATAGTTTCCTGGTTTGTAACAACCCTTCCATTCTTTTTAATACAATTTATTTCTTTTCTTTTTCCGTTTCTTTTTTCGCATTGAAAAAAATATTTCGTTGATTTTTCACCATGTTCTATCCACTTTTGTCTGGACCTGACAAAAGCTCCTTTACATTTATATGTTAACCATTGGTCTAATTTAATTTTTGTTCGTTCTAGTTCTTCCTTATTTTCTTTAGACGGATTTTCATCAGTCTTACAGCTCATTGACATAAATTCAGTTTGTAATTTGTTAAGAGCTTCGTTCTTTTCTTTATGCTTTTGTTTCGAATACCTGATTGTGTATTCTTTAATCTTTATTTTGCACATGTCCCATTTCATTTGCGGGTTCATATAAGCGTTTTCCATTTTAAATTTTCTAATCAAATGTTTTATGTTTACTGTATAGTCATCATCTTTTAACAATGAATTATTCATTTTCCATAAACCACACCCCTTTCGGGGACTATTAGTTGCCAATTTTAGAGTAATTGCACAATGATCGCATTTTGGAGCAGGCTTAATTTCAGTCGTCTGCACACAACACCACATTGAATCTGTTAATAGCCAATAGTCAAGTCGAGAAAATATA